TAAATATAAATTAAAACTATATTTAATATTATTAATAGAAAATTTAAAATAAGCTTAATAGGATTTTAAAAATCTTTAATTAATTATAAAAAAATAAAACTAATTATTTTAATATAAAAGGAATTAAACCTTTACCTTTAAAGTTAAAGAACTATTATATTTTATTATTAAACTATATATAAAATAAAGTTAAATTTAATAATTATTAAAATTAATAATATTTTAAAGTTTTATTTAATTATAAATATTATTTTATTAAGTATTATTATATTATTTAATTATAAAAGTCTTTACTTTTATTATAAATAATAAAATAAAGGTATATTATATAATTAAACTAGGATTTTATAAATATATATATAAAAAAATTATATAAAAGTAATTTTAACGTTAAGCTATATTTTACTTATATTAAAAATATATATAAAAAAAGTATAAAGTAAAGTTATTTATAATATTAATTAAAATAAATATAATTATATTAAAAATAATAAAGTATTATTAAATAATAATATAATTATAATTAAAAAAATACTTTTATTTAAATATAAATATAAATTAGCTTTATACTTTTTTATTAGTTTAATTATTAATTATATTAAAATAACTTTAATAAATTAAAAAAAGGTATAAATATAATTTAATAAAATAATATTAAATAGCTATAATATTAATGTAAAACTTAAATAAATTAAATTAAAGTTCTACTTTATTATTATTTATAGCTTAAATGTTATTAATAATTATTTTAAGTATAAAAGCTTATTAACTTTATTTAAGGAGTTTAATAAGTTAAATAATTTTAAAAGCTATTATAAATAGAAATTAAATTTAAATAAATAATAATTTATATATAATATAGGTATAAAAATATTAATAAGCTTATATATTTAATATACTTTAATATATTTATAATAATTAATAAAGTTAAATTTATTAAATAAATAATTAAGTTTAAATAAAAAATTAAAGTTAAATTAATATATATATTTAATATATTTAATATAATTATAATATATTAATATAAATAATATAATTATAAGGTTAATATACTTTTTATAATATTAGTTTTTAATCCTTATAAATTATTTATATTTTTTTTGGAGGTTTTTACCCTTAATATTTAAGTTACTATTATAGCTTAAATAATTATTAGGTGAAGGGCCGGTAAATCTACTATAGCTTTAACTTAAATTGCCCTTTTTATTATTATTATTATTATTATTACTACTTAATAATAATATTAATAAAGTTAATAAAGCTAATAATATTAATAATATTAATAATAATAATAGTAATATTTTACCCTTATTGCTATAAGTAATATAATTATTCTTTAAAGCTAAAGCTTTACCTTTTTCCTTTTTATTCTTAAAAGGTATAATTTAAATAATAGGAATAATAATATAAATATAATGAAAAAAAAAATGGAAAATAAAGTAAAAATGGAAGTAATATAATAATTTTTAATTAAAACTAATTTTTAAAATTAATAATAGTTAAAAAAAAAATGAATTAAGAAATAATTAATAAAAATATATATATAAATTTTATTTTAAAAGTAATATATAATATATATAATTTATAAAATAAATATAAATTTAATATTTATATACCTTTATAATAATAATACTTTATATAAATAAACTATATTAATATATTTATTATAATACTTTATATTATATATTTATATAATTAAACTTTTTATTTTATATTTAATTAATAAATTAATTATATATTAAATTAAAGATAACTTAATTAAGGAAAAAGAAATAATTATTATATTATAATATTTTAAAGCCCTTAAAATATATATATATTATATGTATTATATACCTTTCCTATATATCTTTTAAAGGAGATTCTTCCTTTTTTTAAGCTTTAATTTTATTAAATACCTATTATAAAATTAAAAAGACTTATAATATTATATTTAACCTTTAAGATTTAACCTACCTATAATAATTAATTAAGAAATTATTATTTTTAAATAAATTTATTAATAAAAATAATAAAAAGTAATATAATTTTATTAATAATATTAATTATTATTAATATTAATTATTATTTATTTAAAATTATATAATCCTTTTATATAAATAACCTTTTTATAAGCTTTATTAATTATTATACTATTTTTTTTATAGCTTAAAAAAACTTTAAATTTATTAATATTATAAATATTATAAAGCTTAATTAAAGTTATTATAAAATTATTAAAATAATTAAAAAAGGTATTAATATTAATTAAAAAAGTATTATTAATATATTTAAAGTTAATAATATAGCTTTATAAAACCTTTAAAGTTAAAAAATACTTATAAAATTATAAGTATTAATACTTTTTAAAGTAAATTTTATAATTATTAACCTTTATAATAGCTTTAATATAAGCTTTAAAATAGTAAATTAATAATATAAAGCTTAATTTTTCCTATATTATAATAAGGCTAGGAATAGGGGTATAAACATTATAAAAGAAAGAGTATAGTGGACGTTTTACTTTAATTTTTCTTTTATTGCTTTTATATATATAAGATATAGATTACGCCGGCGCGAGTTAAACCGATTAAACTTAGCAGATAAACCATAACGTACTTTAAAGAATATATATTGCCTTACCTTTTATATTTATTGATCAGAGCTTTTTACATATTATTTTATAATTCTTAATAGGCGGGTATAGGTTTATTAGTTTATTGTTATTACTTATTAATTATTCCTTAACTCCCTTTATAATATATATGCTTAATTTGCTATTAACTCTTTTTAAGTTTTAAAAAAGGTTTATTAACTCTTATAAGCTTCTTTTTTATTTAGTATACCTTTAAAACGGCAACGTAAATAAGATCTATTAACGTTATAGTCTTAAGCTACTTTTTTAACATTATTACCGCCTTTAATAACGGAAAGAGTATAAATTACATATAATGCTATAATATAGTTAACCATTTTAAAAAGCTAAGAAAAAAAGGATTGAAATGGTATAGGTTAGAAAAAAAGAAGCCGTACAGTTGTTAAGATATTTATAAGTTAAAAAAGAAGGTGGTTGGGAAACGCGTCGCATTTTTAGGTGGGTTAATTGTAGGGTGGTTCGTAGGTGGGTGGTTAGGCTTACCTATCTCTCATCCGTGCTACTTTTCTTGGTCCCCAATTCAGCGATCTCTCGTAGGAGAGAACCAAAATCGGTAACTCATATCAGTCAGCATCTGCAGAGTCCATGTTACAAGTTGAGTCGCCCGCCTCGGATTCTCGGAAGGGAGCCATGTCCTGCAGGGGTGTAAATGTGACAGCTCTTCACGGCGGATACATGTATTGTTAAGTGGCCGCTGGATCGGCGCGCGAGGAAAAGCCATTATAAGTGTGACCCGAGAATCCGAGGTGCTAATACCAGGTGTTTACGATGGTTCCCGGTGGGGTTACCACCCGGCAAGAAGTTTCTCGGCGATAAGATGTGCGGATCTCGATATTCGGAGCCGATCAAGATGCGCTACCTATTGCACTTAGACAGGGTCCAGCAAATGTGAGCACCAGCACCGTGAATTTACTCCTACGTTACCCGATACGTCTTTCAAGGCAACTTTCGCGTTCTATATTATCCCGCTCAATACTTACAGCTATCACGGTGATGGAGAGAATAGACCGACTGTGCCGCGCGCTCCGTAAATCATGCGGGTTCAAGCGACTGCGGCCGGCGTGAGCATCGGTACATGTAACGAGTACGAAGCTTAAGCCCTGAATCCAGTGCGTCCGACAAACGGAACAAAAATATTTGATATTTTGTACCCCTGAAATGGGAAAGTAAAAGCTACTTTTTCGTTGCCATGTCCCTCATGATAGTAATGTCTTGCATCGAGGCTTGACACGCGATACAAGAGGAAAAGAATTCACTATTCTATGACGTATACATCGTACAGACTGAATCTCCTGAAAACAGCCTCTATGGTGTTGTGATGTCACTTCAGGTGCTAACTAGGTTTCAGGTTGCCTCTTGATGTAAGATGTAGGACCGAAATGGTTAGAGAAACACGTGCGCGCCATGCTCGCCTCGTCTTCTATCAAGTATCTACCAACTCATAGCTAATACGTCACTCGTGTTCGGCACCGAATAAGCGCCTAAAGTATAATCGCGCTTTATCGTTCCATTATGGGGTTTAAAACATATGGATCATAATCCCTGGAATCTGCGAAGTAGGCTGCCAAGAGGGTCTGAAGAGTCGAAAAGTGAAATATACCCGGTATTTCCATACTGTATAAGTGTGTTTGTAGCTGGTACATATGTCAATATAGCGTTGACATTCAGAACACGTCAATATTAATAGTTTATATGTGAGTAAATTATAATTGGCGGATAGTCCTACGTTAAGACTTCTGTCATCAATTTGCTGTGGCTCGCATCATTCTACTAACAAAAACCGATATCTTGCTTTGGGATCAATACGGACCCCGTTAGGGCTATCTAATGAGACTGTTGATTGGTGTACATGCTTTATGTGCTACCAACACTTATGAAATCACACCATCACGCCCAGCATATCCCACACCACCCTGCTGTGTTATCATCAGAAATTCATCGTTTCTATATTGCATGAACGAATTTACCGTTTAGGTGTGTTTGGCAGCAAGTTAGAAATATAGATTCAAAACAAAACAAGGGAGTGAATATAAAGTATCAGCCATAGTGCACCCAGCTACCTATATAGCAACTATCTAGTTTATCCCGCATGCATTGATGGCATACAGTGTGCTCTCTTTGTCGGTCATATGATACAAAGCTGCAAACCGTTTACCAACAGCAGATTTAGAGCTACTCTTACGGAAATTTCGGTGGCAAGGGCCTTCGTCATGCTTATCAATATGCCTAAACGGTGTGGGAGAGATTGTGGTTATAAATGCATAATTAGAGTCCCAATGCTCGTTAACTTGAATAGCTAGTCCACTATTTTTATCCTGCCCACCCTGATAGTATTATATCTCTAGCTCACAAATGTACACAAGCCATGGCAACATTCATGGAGACTACTATGAATTACCATCTGGACCCGTCCAGGGGCGGTTCAAAAGCAAGCACCTTTGGAACGGTCGGTGTTCTTCGTCGAAAGTTCGACTCACGTCCTATCCAAATACATGATCTACGGGGTTTGGAGAGCGAGTTCGACATCCATACACATTCTTTCCAGACCTGCAATTGGAAACCTAGCACTACATCACTCGAATCCAATGACATCAAGAGTATTATCTACCACGAGGCTGAGGAACTTATCAAGTCGATGTGAGTATTATAGTAGATTGAATAGCATGCTCCCGTTGCCAATCTCAAGGATACCTATGTACTGTACACTAACAAATTACTCCAGTACCAAGGCATCGCGAGTGCACTGCTTTTCTCACCTGATCCGACAAGATACCTTCGAAGCTAACGTCGAGGCGCTAAAGGAGCTCGAGACTACTAGAGGCAGAGAAAATGTCTTGGACACAGAAGGGTTCGGGCCCACAGTTCCAGCACAGTTTGCACACGTTGACCAGTCTGAAAAGGGGGCTCGCAGCCTCCTTGGAGACCACCTCCCTGATGAGGCAGAGAAGCTGACCAAGACCCGATGGGGAACTGTCAACCTCTGGCGGCCGATTAAAACAATTGAACGTGATCCACTAGGCTTCTGCGATGGCCGTACTGTGAGTGATGAGGATTTGGTTCCTGTAGACACAGAACCACCAGCAAAGGGCACAAGCAAGTTCTACGAGAGCGTTTCTAAATATGGATTCCAGGTGCTTGAAGTTCGGGCGAACCCCAAGCACAAATGGTATTACCTCTCAAACATGCGACCAGATGAGGCTCTGGTTTTCAAGTGCTACGATTCGAAGAACCCCTCCGAGAGTCGCTGCTGTCATTCCTCCTTTCGACTACCGCGAAAAGTCGAAGCGCCAAGGGAGAGCATGGAAATGCGCTTCTTCGTGTTCTACGAGAATGAATCGGTTGAAGGGTGAAGCAGGGTAGAAAAAGGAGGCGTAAGATTCAGGAGGGGCTTTAGCTGAGATTTTGGAGTCTTGTGGATTGAGATGTGTATTTGATGACATGGCGATGATTTCACGAATCGAATGTATGAGACACACATCTAATATCTTTTCTTAGCTTAATATCGATTTGAGTTGAATCCAATTCGATCGCTACACCATACCCCCAAACGTCATTATCACTAAATTGTCCTCGAATTCTAGACTCCTATATAATATCTTAAGCATAAGGATCCCCAAGAGGCCACATGTTCTCATCCAATCAAGGGCTGTAGGTCCTTAAGGGTGGTGTTGACCGGTCAAGATGATTGTAACACCTCATGGTTTTATGGTGACAACTACGCAAAAGTGGCTAGAAGTACTTGTGTGAAGGTGATGGTGGCTGCACCAAGAAGCTAGTGTGACCGGCCAACTCACCGGCCATAGCTCAATACGCCTTAAATCTTTAAGTAATTAGTATATCTTCACAAGCTGGCTGCGCCATTGATATAGCCACATATTTTTCTCATTTGAGGTCATTGCCTGTTATTTCTAGACATGATTCTTCATGACTTAGACGGCTTTCGTTAACATCTGTATCAGCCATGAGTTGCAATAGTTAAAACTTCCCAAAGAACCACAATATATCATAGGCTGATATACGGGCCCCAATCACCATTCTTCCCCTATGGCTTGGGATTATGCTTGATATCCTATGCCATCTATGGCATGTTGGTGTGATTGAATGTGTCTTCTGAAGGCTTCGCATGACGGAGGAACCATCGGGATGTGTGATTTCAAGGGGTGATAGCAGTAACGGTTTAGTAAGTGACAGATTGAGCTATTACCGCTTTTATGGCCCTAATTGAGTATTTATATTTGATAACCGTAGTACTTGTCCCAAAACGCTGTTACTTGACGAGCATGCTCTGCAGGCTGTTCAAGCCGCAAATCGCCAGTATCATCCCAGATCCTTACATGCTCACTATTTGCGCTCAAAGCTGGCCAATAAGAGGTAGCACCCTGTGTACTATCATTTGGGTTCCCAGTTCGCATGAAATGTACCCAGGTCTCCATCATCTTTCTTGAAAGAGACCGGTCAGCATTGGTCCAATCCCAGTCCCATGCATCGAGATTGCCCAACCCGTAAAGCATACCAACAAGATGGAAAGCACCAGCAAAATTCTTTTCCACTAAACTTGAGGAAGTTGGTATTGGCGGCGCGCGGAGAAAATCATAGTACCACACGGGTGACTTCATATACTTGTGTTGGAGACGGGCGGAAGTCCATGTAGGCCAACGAAAGACTTGGTCAGCAAGGAGCCTCCATGATGATACAATCACTTCTGCATCCGTAGTTGCAGGATAGAGACGAAGGGCGTTATCAGCTTGTCCCTCGAATGTTTCCTGGAGGAATGATTCATAGTTGGATAATTTATAAAGACGTGGTAGTGCGGTTCCGTCATCACCCGTGGCACCAGCTAGGACTGGAATGTCAACTGCCTCGCCTGACATGAATGCCTCAGCGGGCGTTCGAGGAACCACATAACCATCAATGATGGGGTTTTGCGTGTCGTAAACACTTAAGCTCGTGGTGTTTTCCCGTAAATATGATTTCCATATTCCCTTAGTTCGAGGCAATGTTACGGCCAAGATTTTATCAGAAGGCATCTGTCGCAATTCGGCCAAGGAGGAAGCGCCAAGGGCATTAAGCACTTCAGTCCCGGCTGCTTCAGCGGCAGTGAGCGTCATGTAAGTTGCTATATGACCTGGGCCATCAAGCGCCGGTGCCAGGCCTGGTCCGCTCTCACAAATCCCTTTGGTAAACAAGCCTTTAGCCAACGGCGAAGTTCGGAGTAGTGTGACGCTAGCGCCGCCAGATGAGGCGCCCCCTATCGTCACATTCCCGGGATCACCACCAAAGGCTTTGATGTTTCGTTGGACCCATTCTAGAGCCGAAATTTGGTCCATGATCCCGTAGTTGCCTGATGCATTATGGCCTGACTCCGCACTAAGTTCTGGAAGTGCGAGAAATCCAAATCGACCAACGCGAAAGTTCACGGTGACGACGGTGATGCCCTCGGCAGCCAAGCGAGCCCCGTCTTCCATGGGATGGGCTGCAGAACCAAAAACAAAGGCTCCGTAGTGAAACCAAACCAGCACAGGCCTGTCGGTAGAGTTCTCAGCGCCGGTAAATATGTTTAAGTAAAGACAATCTTCACTAAACTCAGCGTCCACAGTAGAGTATAGAGATGCTTTCGGCGGTGGCGGTTGAACGCAGGCAGGGCCGTACGACTCGCCCGACCGAACCCCTTCCCAGTGCTGAACAGGCTGCGGCGGTCGCCATCGGAGTTCTCCTACAGGCGGTGCGGCGTAAGGGATACCGTAAAAAGCTCTCGTAGCATTTGGGCGATCAACTCCTGATATCGACCCTGAGTCAATGACGACTGGCGTGCATGCAAGTCCTCGAGACATAATTAACCATCGACAAGAGTTATGGAGGTGGAAGAGAAATGATCCGAGAGTAGACAGAAGAGGATGAATGTGCCATCAGTTGAATCTCCTTGCGTGAAGGGGTACTCGGCGTAATACCTCGTTAGTTACTTCGCGCTGGGCCAGAATGGGAATACCCCTGGCATGAGATATCTCACTGTGGCGATTAATTTACCATACCCATTGAGAGACAAGGGCAACTCTGTATGATTATTACAACAATCTGTAACGAGTCAGTTGAAGCTCCTTGCGCAACAATAATAGCCCTTTACATGCCCAAACCATGGGTTACTAGTACCACTTCCATTAGCCATGGTGAAGACCGACCGACCGCCGGAGGTACAATGTCGCCCGCCTACTGCTGACATGGCCTCACCTTCTCAAAGCAGCTTAGTCTCTGGAAACTCTGAACTGTTAACCCCTCTTTCAAGATTGGGGAGTGATAAGCCGGAAGCGTGGTAAATCCGAAGTCCCGCCAGCCATAAGCGTAACGGAGTTTGTGGTGATTGACCTTGCGAGCAATTGCTTTAAGGGGTGGTATCCGTAGTGCTACACTTACCATAAATTCGAAGCAAAGACGATAACAAAAGAAATCAATCGGTCAGACGGTTCAGTTTTCAGGGAATTCTATCGTGTAGCTAGGATTCATCATCCCCGGCAGTTTTTCTGGTAATTGTAGCGTTGCCTGTACTTAAGTCAGTGTTTGTAGTATAGCGACCTACTAGCCATCATCGCGTTCAATGTCACTCTCGTAATATCCTCCTTCTTCCTTACAATGTCCTGGACGCATCTGCTTGCTTCAGGTGTCACACGGCCAAGACCTCAGAACCGAAGATAACCGATACTACCCCTGGCAGAAAGTGAGGCTATAAGCGATTGGATAAAAACAATCTATTAGTTATAAGAGGACCTACAAGTCAAGGCATAAATGCCCAATAGATAAAAGGGAGTTATAAATTGTATAAGGCTTAAATAAGCATAAATAGCCCAGGAATCTCCTATTCCAGGAGGAAAAAAAAGAAAGAGAAACCAAGGCCCTAAAGACCCCTAATTAATTATTAATAAATATAATTAAGTTCCAAGCTCTTTAATAAAAGCCCTTATTATAAATAATTAATTATTCCCCTTTAAAATATTTTAATATAAACTTAAACCTTTATATAATAGATAAGCTTTAATAATTCCTATATATATAATGTTATTTTAAGCTTAAGTTTTTATAAATATAGGATTACTTTAATAAGATATTTGCCTTACTTTTATTAAATAGAGGTATTTTTAAAAAGTCTATATCTTATATTTAATAAAAATATTATATATTATAATCTTAATATTCCTATTTAGAGAATAGGAAGTAATTAATAACCTTATTAACCTAAAGCTTTAGATTTCTTTAAAATTATAAATATACCTTAACTATAAAACTCCAATTTTAATTTTTATTATTTTAATAAGGATAGTTTAAACTTTAATTCCTTAAGATCCCCTTTATTATATAAAAATTATTTTAAAGATAAATAATAGTTAAGTTACCTACTTTTATTGCTATATAGAACCTTAAAGCCTAAGATTAGGGATGTTTTACCCTTTATTAATTTATAGGCAGAATTAAAATATATAGAGGTATTAAATGAATATTCTACTAGCCTTAACCAGAATTTAGCTTTTACCCTTAAATAAGCTATATCCTTTCCGTTATTACCTATTATATTTAAACTTATTTATTTTAATTAAATTATATTTCATTTTTTTAAAGGATTATTTCTTTTAAAAGATTTATTTAAATTTATTAATTAATTAGCTTTATAATGAAGACCTTTTATTATAGCTTTTAAATTAGTACTTAAAGCTATAAAACTTACCTTTTATAACCTAATTATTTATAAAAACATTAAAAATAAAGAAATAGGATATATAGATATAATAATTTAAAATTTTTTATAATAGGTTATAAATATTTATAATTATATAGGTAAGACCTTTTAAGTAGTTTAATCTTTATAAAGATATAAATAAAGAATATCTTTTAAATAAAGAAAAGTGCTTTAAAATATATATATTTCTATTTATAATATATATAATATTTTAATTAATTTGTATAAAATGAATATATAAATAACTTAAAAGTAGATAAAATATTTTTAATAAAAGATTATATAAGGAAGTATTACTTTTTTTTAAAATATATAGGGAATTATTGTATATATTATATAAGATACCTATTTTTAAGCTAATATTATTAATTAGTTCAAAAAGGTAATAGATTATTATTATTAAGCTTTTTAAACTTTTTAAAGTAAACTTATAAAATAAAAGGTAAGCTATTAAAAGATTAAAGGAGTTATAAATAATTAGGCTATTATAATTAAGGGATAAATTAATTAACTTATAAATTATTTCGTTATAAATTTTAATTAAATTAATAAGTTATAAGTTTATATTTAAATAGTAATTTAAAAAATTTATAAATAATTGAATAAATAAATTATACTTAATGTAAATTAGATTATTGATAAATTAAAAAAGCGTAGCATTATAACTAGCTTTATTAATTGCTCCGTTATAAAGTATTTATTATTGGAAGCTATTTTATAATAGTAAATTAATAATAAAGCATTATAGGTAATAAGGGCCTAATTAATTACCTAAGCTTTTTAAGTATAATATATAGTAATAAAAATTTTCCTAGGAATCCTTATTAAAGTTACCTTATTATTAGGAGGTAACCTAAAAGGAAACCTTAATAGCTTTAACGATAATAACGACCCCTTTAAAGGATAACCTTTTTACGGTCTACCTAGAGGACTACCTTAAGGGCTACCTTAAAACCCTAATGGAGGACCTAAAGGAAATTTAAATAACGATAATTCCTTTAACCCTTTTATTAATAAATTAATATATGCCTTTTTAGCTATATTTAAAAGCATTAGTCCTATAATTATAACATTTAATCCTATTTAACTTAATAAGCTTTATATTTATAATGGAAAGGATACCTTTAAGTTTTTTTTATAATAGGTTAAAGTTAGGGATTATATATTTATATATATAAAAAGTTTCCCTTTTAATAAATATTATATTAATTAAATTAACTTCCTTATAATAGATAAAGCTTTATAATAATATTAATTTTATTAAAAGTAAATTTATTATATTAATATTATTAATATTTGGGTAGTTTATTAAATAGCTTTAAAAGCTTAGTTTAAAGATCCTTTAATAATGTATTAAAATGTTAATGCCCTAATAAAGATAAAGTATTCCGATAATATTACCTAATTCCTTATTAAGATCTTTAACCGGAATAACTTAATAAAATAATCTAGCTTAACATTTTAAACCTTTATTATTAAGCGTTTATTATTTAAACTTATAAAAATGGTTTATTATAATTAGGGCTATATTTTAAGAAATAATAGTAAATTTTTTAATATAATTTAAAAAGTTAATATTATTTATAAAAATATATTAATATACTTTAAGCTATTTTTAAAAAGTATGCTTAATTTAATAAAGGAATAATTAAAATTAGGCTATTAAAACTAAGGTAAAAAGAATCGCTTTAATTTAAGCTAAAATTAATCTTTAAAAAAGGATAAGTTAAAGAAAGTTATTAATAAAAAGCTAAATAAGTTTAAAATTAATCTTAAAGATAATTACTAGCTTAATATTATAATTGCTTTAAAAGGAATTAATTAAGCTATTATTAATAAGTAAAAATAAAATAAAATTAATTATTAATAATATAGTAAAGATAATTATTATATTTTTATTTATTATATTAAAAAGGATATTAATAGTAAAAAGCTTCCCTTAACTTTTAAAAAAACCTTTTTTATTAAAAAAAAACCTAATAAGGAAATTAATTTACCCTTTATAATAAAAAGAGTTAAGATTAATATTATTATTATAAATATAATTAATCCTATATAATATATAAAAATAAAGGAATTAAATTTAAATTTTTAAATAGGCCCTATAAAGTATTATATAGGAATTAAAGCTTTTAAAAAGGTAACTTCTTTTACGTTAATATAATTAAGCGGATAGGAAAAGAGCTTTTTAAATTAGCTTAAAAGAAGGCTAGTTTAAAATTTAAAATAGGTTGTAAGTTTATTATCCTTATAACCTTGTTATATAATAATTAGGAACATTTAATTAAAGTACTTTTAAATATAGGTAGTATTATTTTTATAATATCCTTTTTAAAGGTTAAATAATAAAAGCTTCCCTTTATTAAAAGAATATAACTTAAACCTATATTAGCTTTTAATATAATATATATATAAAAAGTAAAACGGTATTATATAAAATAGGTTATTTTTTAATATTAAAAAGACCACTTTATAAGGCTTAGCTTTAAATTAAGCACCTTTAATAAAAATTATAATATTATTCTACCTTAATGGTAAATAGAAGAATATTAACCTATTTACTTTTTTAAGAATATAAAGAAAATTGCATTTACCTTTAAGTACTATTGTAAAAATTATATTAGTTAAGCTATCTTTAAATTAAAAACTGTTAAGGTTATAATAATTATATTATAAGCAATAACTAAAGCGGCAATAAAATAGGTCCTTAAAGAATTTAAAGAATTCCTCCTTATTATAATTAAAGTAGTAATATAATAGTTATTAAATTATTAACCGTAGAATTATATAATTAACCTTATAAATAGGAAGATTTTACTTTAAGGATCCCTTTATATTATAAACGATTATAAATTAAATACGTTTAAATTATAATTAAATAAAATGCTTAAAATTAATTGTATTTATAAATCTATTGCATTATACGGGATACCCCTTATATTTATAAAAAAGAAGGACCTAAATAACTTATTATATTCTATTATAAATTATTAGGGCCTTAATGCTATTATAATATTAATAAGGTATTCTATTCCTTTTATTATAAAACTTTAAGCTAAATTCCGGAAAGTTAAATGGTTTATTAAAATTAACTTAAAGTCCGGATTTTACTTAATTAAAATTAAGGAGGGCTATAAATAAAAAATAGCATTTTATTATAAATATAAACTTTTTAAATATATAATAATACCTATAAAACTTATTAATGCTTTTATAATATTTTAATTTATAATAAACTATATTTTTTAAAACCTTATTAATATAGGATTATTTATATACTTTAATAATTTTTTAATTTATATAAAAATAAAAAAGAAATATAATAAAATAATTAAGGAAATATTATAATACTTTAATAAGTATAATTTAACGGTGGTACCTTAAAAATATAAATAATATATATATAAAGTTAAATTTATTAAATATATTATTAATATTAATAGTATTTTAATAGTTTAAGATAAGATTAATTATATTGCTAAATAGGAGGTATTAATTATTTTACGTAAATTATAATAATTTATTAAGTTTATAAACTTTTATTAAAAATTTATTAAAAAGTTTTCCTTAATTATAAGATTATTAATGGATATAAATAAAATAAACCAATAATAATAGAAGTAGATAAAAGCTATAAACGAAGCTTTCTTTAAATTTAAGTACTAGTTTATTACGGTACTTATATTTATTTATTTTAACCTTTTTAAAGTAGCTTATATTAAGACCAACGCTTTTAACTTTACTTTTAGAGCTATATTATTATAGAAGGATAATAATGGTAAACTTTACCCCGTTACCTTTTATTTTTAAAAATTAATACCGGTTAAAATAAATTATAAGATATATAATAAAAAGCTATTTATAATAATGGATAGATTTAACCAGTGGCGCTAATATTTAAAAGGCGTTTAATACCGAATTAAAATCTACTTTAACTATTAAAACCTATTATACTTTATAATAACTAAAGTTCTAAATAAATAATAGGTATGGTGGGCGTAATAATTATTTATATATTGGTTTATAATAAACTATTAACTTGGTAAACTAAACGAAAAGGCTAATATTATATTAAAATTAGCTTAATATTACCTTAAAAAAGGGGGAAATAAAGATTAACCAATTAAATCGATTTTATAGGATAAACATTTTTTATATTTTAAAGGATTAATATTTAATTTAATAGCGTTTATACTATTAACCTTAAAATAATTATATAACCTTTTTATATTTAAATAGCTATTAAAGTTTATTAAACTTATTAAGGAAATAATAAAGGATAACCTAAAGTATTATTTATAAAAGGATAAACCTTTTAAGGATATAGAATTTATAAACGACCTATTATATAGAAAAGGGTGCTTATAGGTACTTATAGCTATATAATAAAAAGTAATAAAAATAAAGCATAATATATAAATAGCGGAATATATAAAAATGGATAAAATATTAGAACTTATTATAAAAAATTTTTAGTAGCCCAATATTAAGGCAACTATAAAAGACTTTATATAAAGTTGCTACACTTATTAATAGAATAAAGCCCTATAATATACCCCCTATAAATTACTTTAACCTATAAAGCTATACTATATTTTATAGCAATCGGTTATAATAGATTTTATTATTAACCTACCTTTATTTAATAGCTATAACTTTATTTAGGTTATAATAAACCCCTTTATAAAAATAGAACATTTTATACCCCTAAAGGTTAAAAAAAAAAAAACTAAAGATCTTATTAAGATTTTTATTAAGTATTATTAAAAATTATATAATATACCCCTTAATATAATTTTTAATAAAAACTTTAAGTTTATAAGCTATTTATAAAAGGACTTTTTAAAACTTATTAGTATTAAGCTTTATATAAATATAGCTTTTTACCCCTAAATTAATAAATAAATGGAATAATTTAACTAAACCCTTAAAATCTATTTATAAACATTTATTAACTATAAAATATCTAACTAAGAAAACCTCCTACCAATTGTTAAATTTATATATAATAATGCCGCATTAGCCTCGATGCACATATCCCCCTTCTATATAAACTATAGCTACCACCTAGCTATATACAACCTACCTATAGCATAACCCCATAACCCATCTAATAGGCTATACGCTCATTAGATAACGTAGGTATATAAGGAAGCTAAGGAACAATTGGAAAAAGCCCAACAACGTATAAAGGAATAGGCAAATAAAAGACGAAGGGCTCCGCTACAATACGCTAAAAACTAATTAATAATATTAAATATAAAGAATATTAAAACAAAAAAACCTATTAAAAAGCTAAATAAAAAAATGCTTAATTTCTTTAAAATCCGTAAAATAATCTTACCTACCGCTATTAAATTTACATTACTTAAAGGGTAAAAAATCTATAATTTATTTTATATTTTATTTATTAAGCCTTATTATACTAATAATTAAGCATTATTTAACCTTAACCAAGTTTTATAAAAAATACCCTTAATAAAATCCAAAGACTATTAAATAAAAAAGATTAAAAATTCCTTAAAAACCTAAAAAAATATAAAATATTAAATTAAATAAAAAGGTTAGCTAATTAAAAGGTATTAAACTTAAAAACTATATAAATATATAAATAATGCTAATATAAAGGCTTTCGTTAAATAATTCTATTAATAGAACCCTAATAAACTAACGGACCCTTAAGCTATTAAAACCCTAAACTTATAAACCCCTTAGAAGAAAGTCAGTTATATTTAAAGTCGAACATTAAAAAGGAGGAAGATAATATTATACAGCTAAGACCTTAAAACCGAAAATAACTAATACTATCCCTAGCAAAAAGTAAAGCTATAAACAATTAAATAAAAACAATCTATTAGCTGCAAAAGGACCTACAAGTTAAAGTATAAATGCCCAACAAATAAAAGGGAGTTATAAATTGTATAAGGCCTGAATAAGCATAAATAGCCCAGGAATCTCCCACTTTAGGAGGGAGAAAAAGAGAGAAAGACTAAGGCCCTAGAGACCCCTAATTGATTATTAATGAATATAACTAAGTTCCAAGCCCTCTAATAAGAGCCCTTGTCACATTAGGCACGTATATTCTCAATACACGTTTGAAAAAAAAAAAAAAAAAAAAAAAAAAAGTCTATGCTAATCTATCATGACCAATGATTAACAACATGAAACCATTCACAGTATTGTAAGCTGCTGTAGCATTAAAGGTTAAACGGTTCATTCCAATCCCCTGCGTTGGTGCCATTACTCACCTTGAGGATCATATACAATTGCAACATATTGGTATTAGTGAGGAAGCTTCAGGACTTATCATGTAAATGAAAAAGGAGCAAGAACTATAATACTTGGTGCGATGAAAGCAAAACATATCAATGCAATGATATACTAATAGAACCATTTTCAGCTATCCTTTTTTTTCTTGTAAGGGGACTTTTCCCACCTCCAGCGTCAATAATTAAGCTCAACTGGGTCTCTCTTCCGCACCCTAACATTGAAATTTCCCAAGATAGGTGCATTAAGCCATAGAATAGACTTCATCTTTGGCCTACCGGCCGCTAGGTGTTCAATATCGTAGTGTAGTACCATGTGCGCCACGAAGAGCTTCACTTCTTGTAGTGCGAAGAAACGCCCTGGACACGCGTGCTTTCCGAAACCGAAGTGAAGGAAGTGTTCGTCAATCATCACGCTGGTCTTCTCGTTTCGCTTAGTACCCGCAGACTTCTCAGACGTGCCAGAAAGTGAGCATGGGTCTCGAGAGGGTATAGCATCCGAAACAAACCGGAAAGGGTTGAACTCCTTAGCGTTGGGATAAAATTCTTCGTCGTACTGGACCGGCGTTACTGGCAAACCAATTATGGTACCTTGAGGAAGTTTCATAATTGAATTACCCTGTCGAACAACTATACCGTGCGCATCGACGACCTGTGAGACTTCTGTCAGGAATGGGCCGGTCGCCGATGTGAGCGAGAAGAAGCTGTGAACGAACTAACCGTCCTTGGCACGCCTATGCTATTGAACGGGGACATTCTCATTGACTCTCTAATAGTCGAGTCAATTAGTTTGAGTTCTGAGACTGCCTCTCTCGTCCATGCACCATTGGCGGCTTTCAAAACTCTTGCGCTTTCTTCGCGCAAGGCCGCAATATAACCCAGAGATGGATCTGAGCATGCTAGATCGAGTATCACATTTGCTGCCGTAAAGCTAGTAGAATGCGTGGATATATCATTGAGATACACTAGGCGGAGAGCGACTCTCAAGGGCTTTAGGTGATCTAAATCGCCCGTAGCATAGCTCTCTTCGATACACCACTGAAGGGCATCTTCCTGAGTTTCGCGGTTTTGATTAGTATCTCTTAAAGGTACCATAGGAGGAGCACTGATTGACCCACGTCAATAGGAAATTGAGCACTTACTGGAGGAGCCTCTAGTTTATTAGAACCTTCTCGTCGCTGAGCAGTATCACGAAGCCTTTTATTTATTTCAGATGATGTGATAACTGCTATTGAGCGGAAGATGATGTAGCAGGTCCACGCAATGAAATATCCGGGTATGAACCTCAAAAATGGTGGTGTACAATTGAGAAGTACAGAGCCGAAGAACAGCACCTTTGCATGTATTTGAAGGCGGGCTAAGAGGTGTATGTTACGACCTAGTCTTTCATATCAGCTCACAGCCTTATCATCTTAGTCGCGATGACCACTCACAGAGCGGAAGTCCATAAAAAGCACTGTTAGCCGCTCCGGCGATGATACTCATAGGCGAATCCCACGCATGTATTGTCTTCCACTGTCCTGTCGAAGAGCCCCATTCGCGTTCGAAGCCTCTGTTAAGCTCAGCGGCGATTCGGGGCGTGAGAACACCTAGACTCCTTGTAATCCGGTTACGTATGGTGTTTACTAGTATATTGCTGTCATTTGGTGCGACTTTGGAATCCCAGATTGTCCAAGGCGACTGAATCAACGCTGAATTTGTATTGACTGCATCGAGGATAGTCTCAGGAAGGCTATAGATTTCTCTTAGTTGAGCCTGCGGGATGATCGTCATCCTAGCGCGGTCCATGATGGGAACGGTGAAGTAAGTGTTGCGTTTGGAATACTACCAAGTGTCAGTTATAACTAAAGCGTTCATGAAAAATAAGACCATATTAAAGCAAAATACCTTGGTATACCCTTCAAGAACCCAGTCCTGTGTTGAAACAACAGATCGAAGCATCGAACGCACCCACGAAAACGCTTCTTTGCGAGTGCCTATACTGGGCTGCGACATCCACCACTCCTCGGGTCCATGTTGGAAGACTGACCCCCAGGCCACATACACGCCAAACACAATGAATATGTATGGAAACAACTCGAAATAGGTGGAGTCTCTGTCAATAATCATATTGAGATACCCCATTGAGTGCGGATAGTGTATGAAAAGGCGAAGAACGCGTGGAGAGGTACCGTGTCCAAACAGGGGAGAAAAATGAAAATTATTATACTTAGCTTATATATTAGTAGAAAATAGAACACGATATAAAACATCTTGAAGAAAGAAAAACCCCTTTTATTCTATATCCATGTACCTGTATCAGGTGAAACAGCGCAATATTAGATATAAGTGATGGTATGCAATGTGGTTGAATGTGTTGTATTGATTCATGTGTTGATGTAGCTGTCATTTAGCAGTGACCGTGTCCGAGCAGAATTGTATCGGGCCCCTACCATTCTGACACAGGTTTGCTATGATATCTAGATATTCCTTCAGTCAATATACTAGCAAAGCTTATAGCCCTTATAAGGTACCTATATAGTACAGCCTACCTTGGTAGGTAAATCGGCCGGCAGTAGGCCAATGAAAGTGGCAGCACCCTAGTAGTTACCTAATTACCTAGGCAGTAATACGTTAGTTCTAAGCCTCACGATGACTCCCCGAAGGTGCCCGCGTTAAGCGTAGTAATACTCATTGAGTATTTGAGTCAGTACAACTCAGCCCGCAGCCTACCTACAGTAGTAGAGTCGGGTACCAGTAGTATTTGGGACTTTTGTTCTAGTCTACGGAGGTTGCGGTAGTGGAAAGGTGCAGGTAGATTCTAAGGTGCGGAAGACACAGTCAATCTTCTACTGTATTTAGCTGGCACGTGGACGGCCCCCCTTCCCCTTTTCTCTCCCTCTCTCTCATAAGTACAACATCATATACGTAGCCTATCCCATTGCTGGGTCTTCCTTACGGTCGCAGGTGTCCGTTAGGCCTGCCTGCGGCTAGAACCCGCAGATTTGAGAACACAAAAAACACCATTCGAGGCAGGCTCCATGCAGGTAGCGCGCCCGCATCACCGGTCGGGAGGGAGTGCATTTTGGAGATACATGTAATACTTGACAGCAAGTACCGGTCTTACACTATGTACATGTGAGTACTTTATGCATCCATCTTCCCACAGCACCAGGCATATTAGGACTTCGCGCGGAAACCAAATGACACCATCCACTCCGTACAATCCCCCGGATATCGCCTTGCATATGGGTTTTATCGAAGATGGAATGACCCAAGTACGGGAATAGGTATTTCAAATCAAGCTGCCTATGCGTTTCACAAGTGAACCGCACTTCGAGCCCACCGACGATACGGTGCTGTTAAACCTGCCACTGAACCATTAGTAATCCTTGGATTCTCGCAACCGGCCTTGCTACAAGCTGGTGCTGTTATGGACAGGAGTCAACTAGTCTTTTCTTATTTTAAGCTTATCAAACAGTATTGGGTAAAACGTGGTTGATAAAACATTGAAAACAGACTGGCAGTTAGTAAGATGGTTCCGGTATCGATAATGCCGTTCTGAATAATTCCAATCTACCTATTAACAATGAGAGATACATTGATATTCCACATGATATTCTTTTAAGTAACGAGTGAATGATATATACCTCTATCCTCTACTCTCAATTCCGCCAAGGTTGAATAATCGTGAAATGAAACACGATACGTGAGTTTCACGAGTAGCTTTCATTCCCAGGTCTGGTTGCCCTATATTCCAACCCTCACGGGATACAGTCAAAGCCAAGTCTTTCATTGTCCGGTTTGAAAGTCAATCCTTTCATCAGCCCAGCGTCGTGACAGAATCCGCCTGCTTAGAGACTATAGCCATCTCGGATTGTGAAGGGATCCGAGCGATACTTGAGCCCTTCAGATGGGTTGAATCAGAACGCTCTGGCGCACGAACGGATGATCTTGAAAAAGCTGAAGACACCCGCGAGTAGAATGTGCTGGGAACAACGAGCTTTGACCAGCAAGCGTGGATCGCTGGCGCGCAACTGACGGCAATGGAAATAGCACATTCGGCCAGACTGTTGATATGTTAAAAATCATGCTAGTCTTTAGTAATGAGTCATTCGGATATATGACTACTGGGCGGGTCACTTACAACGCAAGGGAGGCATCTGTCAGGCCAGAGGATGACCCGTGAAGGCCACTATACTTGTATGAGACAGCTAATGCGCTGACAATAATGGCACTGTTATAATTAGATAATGTGTCTAGCTTGAGTGTGCCGAAATACTTACACGCTACCAGTTGCGAAAACGAACAATAGACTGATCTTCCGTCGAGTATTCATCTGAAGTTTATAGATGATAGGCAGTGGAATAATGAAGATCGTGCCGTCTGTGATAACTGAGACAATTCCCAGAGCTACACCCGCAATTGAAGACGCATTGGAGCAGTTTAGGATGAGTTCGGCCGTAAGAGGGCGACCACGGGGACTGCAAACGCCAGTAACAGATGCTCCGCCAGCAATGTCAACCAAGCCGATCAGTATGAGTATTGAATAGCAGAGTAACTTGACCCATCTTTTCACCCCAAAAAGTCTGGTGTATAGGAGAAGGATCGGTGCTTTCGAACTCCAAAGTGTGAAGGTTGTGAACCAATTCGTGATTTGTGACCACTAGTTAACGCCATGTCATCAGTGACTTTGAGTCCACGATAAGGAAGAAGAGCATTACTTGAAGAAGCTGAGATATCGTTGTGTTTGGGTCGGCAAGAACTAATGACGTTAGTGCTAGAAACATTGATCACGGAACGCTGGTACGACCACTTACGTCCAACTAGACGGTATGTAAGGGCAAGGCTAATAATGAGAAATACCAGTGCAATAACCGACACATCTAAGAGCAAGTCAATATATTTCGATCACGACTTTCATAGGGGAATGCCTGAACTTACAGTCATCAGTGTGAATCTTGTTCCAGCGTCGGATTGGAACAAAACGTAGAGCTACCCCGACACTTGTGATAACTATGAATGCGATTCCAGCTCCGAGGTATTGATCGGTCGACACGCGAGTCTCCTGGGATAGTCCAGTGCTAGATGCAGACATGCTGACGTGAAGATGACTATGTCGCAGATAGCTCTTTAGAGTGTAAGTTGTTGAACTCAGATAATGATTGTGTTGTACCAAAGCTTGAGGGCACTGAGCCGTAGAGGAAAAGGAACGCCCTGAATAACGATGGAACTTGGGTGGTGAGTGGGTGCGACGAGTGCAATCGGGGTGTTGGCGCTTGTTCTTGCACATGAAATATTTGGACAGTAGCGCCGAGAGGTGTTAGGCTGGAACAGAACACTTGCATGTACATCATGCTAACAACGCGATACTACCGCATACACTGAGATTATATTCACAACCCGCCGTTGGTGTGTAACATAGACTTTACCTGATTAAGCACAATTTTCCGGAAATTCCACTGGGGAAACTGTCTTTTATTTGGTACGAGGGCTAACAATAGTGGAAAATTGCCCTTAATCAGGTAAATTCTACATTACACGCCAATGGTGCGTTGTGAATATAATCTCAGTGTATGCAGTAACTCACATATAGTTTTAGAAGCAGGCTGCGACACCGTGTTTCGGAAGACTCCTTCCCAGTCAGAGAGTACCAAAGTTTCGCGGTTGCCGGCCACCGGCCACCTCGATGCCTCCACGTGTCTGTGCGATAATCACATTGAATAAGGTCGCAAAATGCTAGCTACTCTTGAGTGACTTCGAAGGATCTCGGGTTGTATGAGACCACACAACTATATTCAGGACTATACTCAAATATAAGAATCAATAACCTTGTTCGCTGTTACGTAAAGAAACTACTCCAGGTAATAAGACTTGAAAGTGACTTCGGACTAGAATAGCCTTATAAATTCTTCAAAAACAATCCCGCGTCCGTGAACTCGCAGATCGGATCTCATCTACGCTGTACCTAAATCCGATCGATTTCATATTTACAAGAGAAAAGACCTTCAAAGCAACTCACACTACACTCCAAGTGACTATGGGTAACCCTACTATCGGACATATCGCCTCTATTATTCCTTCTATTGTGCCTTTTGGCCTAGCAGGCACAGGCTTAGCCCTAGGGATTCTATTTGTACTACTAACTCTGCGGAACTCGCAGGGGATAACGGCTTTACACTTCACACTTCAACACTCGAAAGTCCGCAATGGTCTGAATGGGCCCTTCTTATACTGCCTCGGTGCTCTTCAAGCCCCTTTTCTTTTTGTTGTCAGTCGCGCGCGTGCCTGGGAGTATCTTTTCAGAGGTACCGTTATAATCCAGGAGGCATTTGATAAGGTATGTTGACTGATAGGGCGTGAATCCCTTGACTCTCTAACAGGTGGCTAACAAATCAACAGGCAAACGGTCAACCATTCGAAGTCCTCACGCCTGATAATCGTTGTGTATTCGTCACTTCTGCAAAGCACATCAAAGAACTAGACACCGCTCCGGACACAGTGTTGTCTCTTCAGGCCGCATCGAAGCAGGTACTGACACCAAACTATATTCAAACGTTTACCATCAGCTCTAACCTTCTTTGTGGCAAATAAGATGCTTCAGCCTAATGCTACCATGTGCGGATTCAATTGGTTTGACAGGCGTGGAACAGAAGGCGTTGGTTTCATACGAGCTCTTCGAACACTATTGACAAATAATCTGCCCGAAATACTACCAGATTTGGGTACTATAGTCAGTGTCCGGCTGGATGAGCTGCTCTCGGAATCACCTGTTATGGATGGTATGTGGCTTATCGCATGCTGACAGTGTCTCATCGTTAATTCTTTTTTCAGGCCAAAGGCAGTCCCAGGTGTACCCGATTATTATCAAACTTGTGGTGTTATCTAATGCCGTTTCATTCTTTGGAAAAGACCTAGGTGAGCCAGTTCTGTGTGTCGTCAAAACTTCACTAACATCCCAATAGCTAAGAATGAAGAATTCATGAACTCAGCTTTGGCGTACATTGAGGAAACCCTGATATGTGCTGAGGTCATTCGACTCGTCCCGAAGAGGATAGCAGGGTATGTCCAACTCTCGAGTAACCTTTCATTTTCTAAAAATATACAAATAGACTCCTCGGGGGCGTTGTTAGTCGCCGGCTTCGATCTCAGCGGGTAATATTTGACACTTTGCTGCCTGTGGCAGAGCAAAGGTGTCTTGAAAGGGAGCAAAAGAAATTGGGTCAAACTGTCCCACATCATGTAAGATCAAGTTTTCAGCCTTGTTTTAGGAGAAAAAGTATTTGACAGTGTATGATCAGGCGGATTGTATTCAATGGATCATGGAAACGTCTCCTACCCAAAAGCCTTGGTCAGCTACGCGCATTGTTCATGAACTCATGGCTATCTGGTTTGGGTCGGTCCATGCCCTATCAACAGTAAGTTGCATTTATTGCTAACTCTATAATTGAATAGGCTAATTAAACTTAGACAATCACCTTTGCCATTCACGATCTTTGTTTGCACCCAGAGTATGTCGAACCTTTGAGAGCAGAGTTATTTCATGGCCACGGAAGCTTTACACATACAGCTCAAGGTCTTCCACTTCTAGATAGCTTCATTAAAGAATCTGCCCGCTTGACTCCAGTTGAATCTAGTGCGTATTTTCTTCAAGCCGCTTTCACTACCCCTATCGTTTGTCAACATACCTCCGTGTTAGTTCAGTCTGTGATCATGTTTCATTCTATATGTTTTCTACCACCAGAGCTTACTAATTTTAATTGAAATTCAGTGAGTACCCGGCGTGCTGCTTTGATGCCATTCACCCTTTCGGATGGCACTACCGTCAATGTTGGAGACTGGGTCTGTACGCCTGTTCGGGCAATCATGCAGCATGCGGAGTTATACCCTGAGGCTCTCGCTTTCAACGGCTTTAGATTTGTAGACGAGTCGTGTGTGGACATCAAACCCGGCATTTTCAAGGTTTTACAGCCACAGCCATCCAAATTGACCGACGCCGACAATACTTGGCACGTATGGGGCACCGGTCGTATGACTTGGTGAGACACTTCCTAGCCTCCCTAAACTGCGACTCTACTTGTGTCACATCACTAATCGTATTTTCTTTGTTAGCCCTGGAAGGTTTTATGCTGTCGCTGTGATGAAGGTTATCTTGGGGGAGATCATCCTGAACTATGACTGTGATTTGCCAGATAAGGAAACCCGCCGGTACCTGTCTTGGAGATCGACCATCTTACCCAAACGCAAGACTACAGTCGTTTTCATTCCCCGACAGGTCATCTAGTCCAACATATGTGGCTGCTGAAAATCCTACAGCTGCGCGGGTAGAGTGGATGTGACTGCATGACTAGCCAATAGGCAGGATTAGAATCATGATCGGACATAAAAGGACTTATTTTTAGGTAGGCTGAGTTTCAAGTTGGATACGAAGACGGAAGGTCACCGGATGCTCGGTTACACCGTATTGCTGTCAGGTATAATCGATGGAATGTGATTGGATCGAATATATTATCTTGAGAGTTGTTTGTGCAAGTGGCGTGTAGCCGTGACTAGAGTGTTGGCAAGTTTTGCGGGGCCCTATCTCTTCTACACCCGTCCGTGTTCGGATACTCATGTAACCAATATTCGAATCTGGAGTTGTACCCCTTTCATCTGAGATGTAGTACCCAATTCAATACAATGTTGGGGTGAGACAGTTGTTGGCATGATGTGTAAAAACCACCGAGACAAAAGGTTCTGTTCTGTAGTGTATGTACACTGTGGATTCAGGTTCATCCACCTGTATGTACGTAGATCAATTAGGTAGTCGTGTCACCCGAAATCCATGAAGTGTAGCATGAACCCAATCATGTATTGTCCATGTACCTTGAACTCGGAAGTACCTACATGTAAAATAGTAGAGTTACCCCAGAAACCAATGGCCGCCACTCCAGATGGGCTGAGCTAAGCTAATGCTAAGACCAACAGTGTACTTTACCTATTGCACTGGAAGAAAAGGGGGACCCTTCCTCCTCACCCCACACTCCCTCAACTGCCACATAGCTTTCATTCATATTGTGTCATTATTTTGTTCTATCTTGCTCTCAACATGTCTATAGCTCTTGCCATAGAGGCTCTCCAGCAAGCCCTACCTGACGTCCAACTTTACGTTCAAGGTACCGATGAATTCAATAAACTCAATGCGTCCTATCTCTCAGCACTTGAGAGCGACATCACTCCGGCTGCGATTATCCTCCCCAAGACCTCTAAGCATGTTTCTACATTCTTGAGAACGATCGGACCTTTCGTAACTAATGGCCAGACCACATTTGCCGTCCGCGGCGCCGGTCAACAGCCTCTGCCGGGTTGCGCGAATATCCAGGGCGGCATTACATTGGACTTGGCCTTATTAACCGGAATAAAGCTTGATTTTGACAGTCGTGTTGTCTCCATTGGTGCTGGTGAGCGCTGGGGCGCAGTTTATGAGAAGCTTTCTGGTCATGGCCTAAGTATCACAGGGTCACGATCTGCGAAAGGTGGTATTGGAGGATTAGCTTTAGCAGGTGCGATTCTAAAGACTTCTTTTGAGAGCCCCCATTTCTATTATACAACCATAATGCTGACATTTGTGTTCAGGCGGCCTCTCCTTCTTCTCTACTCGCGAGGGTTTTATCTGCGATAATGTTGTAACTTACGAGATTGTTCTAGCTTCTGGGGAAGTTGTCAAATGCAGTGTCGATAACAACCCTGATCTGTACAAATGTCTGCGAGGCGGTGGGAACAATTTCGGCATAGTAACAAAATATGACATGAGGACTTTTACGCAAGGCCCCTTTTGGGGCGGAAACGTTTTCTACTACCCGGCGAGTTTTCCGAACCAGGTCGACGCCCTCGTTCATCACCTCCAGGACGCGCAGATTGAGACTCATGTCATGGTCAGCCTCTTCTTCGCAGCTCAATTCGGTGCAACTCTTGGTCTCAATCAAGTGTATTACACCCGTGAAATAAAGAGCCCACCCGTATTGGATCCTTTCGTGAATATTCAGCCGCAGCTAGACGACTACAGATCCTTACGCATGATCAATGCGAAGGACGCTGCAGGCGAGCAAGCATCAATGTCTGCAAATGGAAAAAGGTAAAGACATTTTCATCTCCCTTACCCTGTTGCTTGAGTAGCACCTTGGGCTAATTCCAGACCAGGGTTGCTTATGTGAACACTACCGTCAAAGCAGACGCGGCCACCCTAAAGGCGGCAGCGGATATTTTTACTGCAAGTCTTAATCTTGTCCAAGGCTGCAAGGGCGTTGTGTTTTCGTTGACTTTCCAGCCTTACCCCATGTCTCTTTTGGAGAAGTGTCTCTCGGCAGGTGGTAATATTACAGGCCTTACTCCTGCTGACGGTCCCTTGGTCTCAGTTCTTGTCCTTATGAACTGGGAAGACAAAGACGACGACAAGACTATTCTAGGAACAGCAAGAAGTATCCTGGAAGCCATTGATAAAGATGCTGCAGCAAGAGGTCAAGCTGTTTCTTACAAATATCTAAACTACGCTTTTGATTTCCAAGACCCGATCGGCTCGTATGGTGCCGAAAACAAGCAGTTTCTTCAGGACGTGAGCAAGCGGGTTGATCCGGACGGTGTATTTCAACAAGGGGTCCCAGGAGGTTTTAAGTTATTTAGTTAAGTCACCATAGGGCCATCAGAGTGGTTGAAGTCGCGTAACTTTATAGGTCATCTGTTGCTCTGGAGCTTAAGTTTCACTTCGATTACACTGGTACATCATATACTTTAGTTCAAAAATTCGAGCTCGTGGGTATGTCATGAGTGGTGATCCCTAAATATAATCTGCACCCAAAGGCGATAGTTATCGGCTGTAGAATAGCGGAATGACAAGAGAACTGTAAATTCGAAACGCCAATATGAGCGTGTCGCAGTCGCACGGCTTGGTACCTACAAATTGCTGTTCATTGCTATCATTTACACTAGTATCTGGTACCATTTAGCCGGAAAGGTCAGAACATCGGCCGACTTTCTGCATACAGAGACCTACTGTAAGTAGCGGAAATGGAAGCCGGAGAGCGTCACGCGACAACCGCTATCAACAACCTAATGTAGGTACTACCCCATACTAATCATCTATCGGCGACGCCAGTGATGATTCACTTCCCTAGGTAGGCAGTGGAAAAGGCCTGTGCAGCTGTACTCTTTTTGAAATCTAAGTACCGTACTGGAGTGCGTACAAAAGCAATACATAAAATTGTATATATTTACGCTGAGACGCGCTTGCCGCAAAGCCGAACGTAGTGTAGGTCCGGCTTAGCTACGTATGCACGTACCAGACACGTACCTAACGAGGTCTTACTACCTACATATGTAGGTAGTTGTATCGGAAATAACAGTCAAAGGATGTTGTACCGCATACACTGAGATTATATTCACAATGCGCCGTTAGCGTATAACGTAGACTTTACCTGATTAAGGGCAATTTTCCATTATTTTCAGCCCTCGTATTAAATAAAAAACAGTTTCCCGAATGGAATTTCCGGAAAATTGTGCTTAATCAGGTAAAGTCTACGTTACATACCAACGGCGCGTTGTGAATATAATCTCAATGTAATGTTACGACGATGGTAATTGTTAGGTCGAAGTAACTGCTAATCCGTAAGGCTTTCATAGAATTTACTGGGAAAATTGATTGTTGATCGGTCTTAAAAAACGTCTTGCCACTTAAAGCTCCGGCACGAAAGGTACTGTATATTCACAGATACTTATCCCCTGTTACAAACCCTTGCCTGTACCTGTAGCTCGATGAGTACCGGCATGTACTTTCATAATGGTTCGGGACGGTACATTATGTAAGTAGATAGCCGCATATTGTCTCAGCGCCACGGTCTCGAACGAGTATTACTACATAGTACGTAAGTAGATACTGTAGGTATCTGTAGGCTGCGCCTATGCGTAACTATGTATGTACATAGTACATATAGATACTATCTACCTAGGTACTTGGTAGGGAGTATGACTCCGCCTTTTGAGCCGCATCAAACCAACAATCATCACGACGGGCCTGTACCAAGTTGAACATGCGAGTCCTTCATTGTCCGGTGCAACTGCACCACGATTCCTCCCTAGTGCGGTTTGCGTTTCACCTTCGCAAGCTGATGCTGCTTTGGGAAGGTGATTGTGATGCATAGCGAGTGGTAGCGCTCTTAAACTCAGCCAACTACGCGCAGTGGCTATCTAGGTAGCCTGTGGCATTTGGTAGGATACTTGGGCTTGTGATCGGTACACGTAGTGGGAGATCATGCGAGCACCCTAGCCCCAAGTTGTTCGTGAGTTGTAACTTTCTGTTGGTTCTAAAGCGACCAGAAAATGGAAATAGGTACACTACACCCTAAAGTTCCTAGCGAGAAGCCGCTTGTTTTCGCCGACTATTCTACCCACAGCAACGCAATACAACATTGCGTGTGTTATCATGCGGCTTAACTACCCCAGCATAAGCACTGACATTGACAGGGGAACACGAAAAGGACGAGAGAGGTTTGTTCCCCCCTCCTTTTTTCCCTTCAAGGAAAGGAAGAGTTGTAGTCTCAAACTTTTTATTTTGTGAATTGAATGCAACAGCAATATGTTCATCTTAACTTATATGATTCTGTTAGCTTTGGCCCTTGTGGCCGCCTTACTTTCCTGGTTATACCCTGGAACCAAAACAGCCCGGTTTTGGATGTCACAGCCCGTTGTTGGAGTCATACGTTCGCAACGGTTCGCTTGGTTGCGAGCAACGCTGCGCTCACTTACGCAAACTCAAGTCTGGGTGTTTGAAGGGTATGAGCAGGTATGAGTTTACTTCACTCGAGAACCCGCAGCCCCGTTTTGCCAATCGCCTTGGAATATATCTCAGGGAGAATTAAAATACTTATAATCTACATCTAGTACTCGACACAGAACACGCCTTTCACTATTCCGAGCTTGGATCGTGGTCCACAGGTCATCGTACCTCCACGACAGATTGCAAAGGTTTACAGTCTTCCTGAGACTATCTTAGACGTGGACGACACACAAGACCAGACACTCCAGATAAAATGGACTGTGTGGGATAAAGTCGTCTCGAAAGAGAGGCTTCATGTCCATGTGGTACGTAATCAGCTGAATCGCAACCTCACGAACATCACCGAGGCTATAGCAGATGAGATTGATTTTGGTTTCAATCGAATGTGGGGGACTGATCCAGACTGGAGAGGGGTGAAGATTTGGGATACCTGCCTTCGCATTGTCGCGGGTGCCGCAAACGGTGCCTTTTGTGGGCAGCCACTATGTAGGTTTCCTAATACACTATATTCAATCGACTTGGTCCATTCTTACATGTTGAAAATCAGGTCGCGATCCCGTATTTCTTGACTCCCTCAGAGATCATGCTATGAGTGTCTTCTCCGGTGCATTACTGATTAGCTGCACTCCTTGGCCACTAAAGAGTCTATCTGGTGGTATAGCTGCAGCAATGTGCAAATATCAGTTGAAGAGAGCTCTGAAGATCTGCCTACCATTTGTCAAGGATAGACTTCAAAAAACTGCCCAGTCAAAAGCCGATAGTGCCTACGACTGGACACCCCCTGTAAAGTCATCATTCCTGGTGATTCAATAATCGATAGATGACTAACTGGCGCTCATAGAACGACGGTCTACAGTGGATCATCGAGGAATGTTATTCTAGTCAAAATCCAGCTGCCCAACTTGACCCTAAAAGAGTGTGTCATCGCATAGTTCCGATTAATGATGTGTCATTACACACATCAAGTTTCACGCTGCAAAACTTGATCTTGGATCTCATGAGTACCGATCCTTCTCTTGGTTACGTTGAAACCTTGCGCAAAGAGTGCGCAGCCGCGCTGAGAAAAGCAAATGGAGTTTGGACGCGGGATGCTGTGAGTAGTCTGAAACTTGTAGATTCTGCCATAAGAGAATCCATGAGAATCTCCACCGTTGGAACAATCATGCTACCCAGAAAGGTCGGTTCTCAATGACTCAAATAGCGTAGGCAATCCGAAAATACGCGAAGTCTTACCATGGCCTAGGTGGTTCATCCAAACGGCGTTATGCTTGAAAATTGCCAAGATCCAATACCTCCAGGAGTTGACATAGGGATTCCTATCCAACCTATCCACCTTGACGAAGCCATCTATCCTGATGCCAAATCTTACCATCCGTTCCGATTTGCCCAGCCAGACGAAGTGCGAAGGATTCAGGAGAGTTTTACGCCTGACATTGAATCTGCAGAGAGCCAAACGACTCGACATCTTAGTCAGGAGGGTAAGCAAACACAAGCCGCAACTCTTGACAACACTTTCTTCGGCTTTGGTGTAGGTCGACATGCTTGTCCTGGCCGATTCTTTGCTCTGATCGAGATGAAGCTGTTTGTAGCTTACTTTCTACTGAATTACGAACTCCAGCATTTCAAAACTAGGCCCCAACCTGCGAAGATACTGTGGTTGAACTACCCGTCAGACGCAACCATTAATGTGAGGAGGGTTCCAGCATTTGTGTAAAGGAAGGCTTATAGTGGACGCAATTACGATGGATTGGCTATTTCTGAGCTAGGAACGGCATCCCTCTGCTGGTTTGGTCTCTTTCCATTGAGCAATGTAATATCATGCGTGGGCAGATTCAAACTTACCTCCTTTTCCTGTCAGAATCGATGGTGTAATCTAGATAGATTAGCGCGGGCTGAATATACCAGGTCTGCTCAATCCCTGAGAGTCTCCAACACAGCTGACTTGAGCTCTTAATCTCGAATGTGGCACGAGCAATGAATCATGGGCTTCACAAGGAGTGAGAATGCTACAAATGCTTGTCAGCTTAGGGGGGTAGCAAAGTAGTTTCCCCTGTTAGGCAATAGGTGGTGCTGCAGTGCCTGTACTGGTAGTAATTCATCCATTGGGCTCTCCCTAAAGAGCTAAGGCCTTTAAATTATAAATAATTAATTAATTTTTATTGTATAAAAAGTACTTTTAAAATTGAAAGATCCTAACCCTCCTTTAGGTGGCCCGAGGGATGGACGAAAGTGGAGTCCCAACGAGAACTCCAAATGTGCTGTGATACAACATGGCACCACTCACTATGCATATTGCCAAAGTATCCGCCAGCTAATTATCCTCCAACCCAATGCTGACTGCAAGCCTACGTCCCAACAGAATGTCTTACAAAGTTCCCGTTCGGTAAACTTGTAATTAAACATAACATAACATGTAGGTGCCTAACGCCAGCCACCGTGACTGAGCCTTTTTAGTTGTCTCTTCCCTCTCCCACTTGTTCCTGGGGGAATTCAGTCCACATTTCTTCTCATTACCCCCTCACACCACCGATTTTCAAGTGCCCCGATCATCATCTACAGTAGACCAAGAGCTCAAGACAAGATGGCCACGCAACCCGACGGAATCTCTCATCAAACAGCTACGGACGATAATTTACCTAGCACTGCTGTACAACCCGTAAAAGATTTTCGGTTCTGGGGCATCTTTGCTTCTCTGTGTCTCCTCTCTTTCATATCAGCTTTGGATGTTTCCATCATTACCACTGCCCTCCCCAAAATCACAGCTGAGGTTGGGGGTGGTGAAGAGTTCGTGTGGATTGCGAACTCATTCATAGTCGCCTCTGCTGTTCTACAACCTTTATGTGGCCAGGCCGCTGACGCTTTCGGCCGGCGAGTTCCCATCATTGCAGCCACCACGCTCTTCCTTATCGGGAGCGGTCTCGCTGGCGGTGCGTACAATGTAGGCTTACTGATCGCCGGGCGCACCATCCAAGGCGTGGGTGCCGGAGGCATATATGTCCTCATTGATATCGTATGCTGTGACCTGGTGTCTCTGCGCGAGCGAGGGAAATACTTAGGTCTCATGTTCTCTTGGTCAGGGGTTGCAGCCGCTCTAGGTCCTCCTGTTGGCGGCGCTTTAGCCCAAGCGAACTGGCGCTGGGTTTTCTGGATTAATATTCCCATCTGCGGCGTGGCCCTGGTTATGCTCTTACTATTCATGAGGGTAAAGAAGGGAGAGCATGGGTCAACCAAGACTCTCCGCTCAGGAGCCAAGGGTCTGGACTACTTTGGATCCCTCATATTCATACCGAGCTTGATATCATTGTTGTTGGGCTTGATCATGGGCGGCACGCGATTCCCATGGTCTTCATTCCGTGTTATCCTACCCCTCGTGTTGGGGGTTGTCGGATGGGCGCTGTTTCATGTTCACCAGCATTACTTCGCCTCTCACCCTAGCGTGCCTTCACGACTCTTTAGCAACCGCACATCTGTGACAGCATTCCTTCTCACATTCACGTCCTCTGTTATATTACAAATGACCTCATACTTTCTTCCTTTCTATTTCCAAGCCGTGCTTGCCACCACAACCTTGGAATCAGGCACATATTTCCTTCCTTTCGCCCTAGGGTCTCTCGTTTTCGCCGTTGTTGCGGGCAGTCTGTTAACCAAATTTGGAGCATACCGACCACTGCACGCAGTTGCGTTCGCTTTTTCTTCCATTGCCTTCGGTCTTTTTACGCTACTAAACAGCTCCACTACGAAGGTTGCCTGGGTATTTTTCCAGTTAATCGCCAGTGCCGGTTGCGGTATGATTCTGTCCGTTCTTTTACCTGCTATCATGGCGGGCTTGCCCGAGTCCGATGTTGCTTCCGCATCAGCTACATTCAGCTTTATAAAAAACTTTGGGTATATTTGGGGGGTGACTATTTCTGGTATCATATTCAACGCTGCCTTTGACCAAAATCTACGCCTCATCTCGGATCAAGGACTTCGTGGACAATTGAGCGGTGGTAAAGCATACGCTTTTGCGAGCCAGGTGCATGCCCAAAAGGCGACACTTGATCCGCCTGTGCTATCTCAAGTCATGGCGGTGTACGCCAAAAGCTTGAGAATCATCTGGTGGGTTGGCCTCGGCATCAGCCTGGTAAGTATGTTGGCTGTTTCATTAGAAAAGAATCTGGAATTGCGAACAGAGTTGAAGACAGAATACGGCATCGAGAAGAGAGAGAATGGATCAAATGCGAATGACGAAGATATAGGAATGAACAGTAGTGTACAATGAAAAGCTGGCCCGGGTCTTGTATGGGATTTGTGCAAACAAGGTTAACTTCGTATTGTGAAGAGCGAGTACGCTGATTTGAAACACTCTACGGTGTCCGACAATAGCTGTACGTACGCTGTATGTACTTCGTACGGGACTTGTATTTATTCAAAGAGGTTTAATGCCTCCGCTTTCAGCTTCAGGCGTTTAACTGATGCACTGTTCTTACACTGTATGATATACCCATGCTCCGTTTCCCCCGGCGTTGTTGGAAATCTGCCTCGAACACTGGGGGAGTACAATGTGATAGAAATCCTGGTCAACCTCCTGTATCTCCCCCAGATCGACACCCTCGACGAAAAAGCACTAATGTGGCATTATAGGCCGATTGCATTCAGTGGATAATGGAGACTTCACCACGCCAACAGCCTTGGACTCCTAAACGGATTGTTCACGAGCTAATGGCGATTTAGTTTGGCTTTGTACATGCGATGGCTACAGTAAGTTTTGGCAGAGTCCGATAGTACATCTAAGACTCATAAAGGATATACAAAACTAACCGGCGCTATCTTGAGACAATAACATTTGCCGTTCACGACCTTTTGTCCTCATCCGAGCTATATGGAGCCGCTCCGTCAAGAACTGGTTGCGTAATACGAGGACTTCCACTCCTTGACAGCTTTATCAAAGAGTCCGCTCCATTAACGCCTGTCAAGTCCAGTAAGTCAATCTTGTCATAATTAGATATATACTTGAATACCTAGCGAAGGCGTATATCTACACCACATCTAACCTTGCATAGTGAGCACTCGGAGGTCTGCGCTTCAGCCCTTTACTCTTTCAGATAGCACAACATTGTCACCAGGCGAATAAGCCTGTACTAGGGTAGTCCCTTAAGACAATTGTTGAAAAAGAAAAAAATAGTGGAGTAAGGAATAAAATTACAACTATATAGCTATAATACCCCAGTCCGTGCTATAATGCAATCGACTGAGCACTACCCTGAGCCAGTTACTTTTCATGGGTTCCGCTTCGCAAACGTCACGTTTGAGAATGAGCTAGGCGCTGCCGACGAGTTGAATTTCAAGCAGCCAAAACCGTCGCGATTGACAGATGTGGACTCTACTTGGCACGTCTGGGGGACAGGGAGAATGGCTTAGTACGTCAACCCATCAAGTTTAAACGAATGGTGTAGCTAACTAGCCGATAGTCCTGGGGGATACTACGCAACAGCGGTGATGAAGGTAATCATGGCGCAGAGCATACTCAACTATGATTGTGAGCTCCAAGATGCTAAGCAGTCGCGCTGAATCTCATGGGGCTCAACGATACTGCCAAGGAAAAGCACGATGGTCAGTCTCACACCACTTGCGCCATAGAGATAATGGAGCATCACACCAGCTCAGGCTACAGGCCTGCGCGGGTGCTCGCCGTTGCCGATCATTCGTATGTCTCCACCATCGAATCAATATGCTGGGAGGATTTCCTTTTTGCGTAATGACTCTATTAGCTAAGTACCTAGGGATTGAGGAAAGAATGTGCCCCTTGTGAAAAGGCTCGTTTTGCCTTCTCCTAAGCCCCCTGTATTTGCGCCACAGAGACGCCCAGAAACTCGCCCAGTTCTCGTGAAAGTATACTGACAACTACGGACTAGTACAGCACTAATAGAAGACGGTACATAGGTACTGTAGATCTACTGTGTTTCATCCAGTGCATGCTAGGTGTTGTGATCGCTAACTCAACATCTCTTAATGTCCACCTAAACAAGAACTACAGTTAGATACTCCGGAGAGACACGACAGTGAGCCTGCAAGCATGTGTTCATCTGCCTACATGCATAGGCAAATGTTGGTTGTATGTCTAATATGGTGCTGCGCACCAGTAGGTACCTACTGCTTCTTAGCGCTTTCGGTAGGTAGGTAGTGTAGAAAAAGCACCTAAGTAGTATAGCCGAGGGACGCGCCCTTGAGCAGATCATGGGCCTCTTCTTGTAACCTGCTTCTCTCATAAAAGATCATTGCCATGTAGCGCCTCAACTGATGCAGATGTTGTATGCAAGGTGTGTTAATGGGCAGCCTAGGCAGCTGTTATGAGACTGTTGGTTGCGAAGGACTGACCTGATATGGGAAGATAGAAGACTCCTTTATTTTAGGCCAGTCCGTTAGGCTACAACGGCGCATGGCCAAGCCAACAAATATTTCGAAAAAAGGGCTGTTCGCCGCTCATCGCTACAACGTGGTATCATCAGAGTTGCATTGCTATGGGTACATGGTTTCATTCCTAAGCCTTCCCGACATAGAAAACTAACAAGTATATACCTTTTTCTGGGAATTGACTCAACTAACGGCGATTCAAGTGAGCTTTACAGGTGAACAATCCTCCCTAGTCACCAACAGTGTCATCAGACTCCATCGTCAATGCAGCCCTGTAAGTCCTTTACGCAGTGGGGTGTCATCGGCGGCCAACCCTCCCCGGGGAAGCTCGATAGCTGTGTTGCTTTATCCACTCTGCCACCCTGCGCCGCATCATGTACATGGCGTTGAGGCTGAAAAGGCGGGATTGGAACAGCAATTGGTTTCCCGACGTTGTAGTCTAACATTGTGCCAAGCATACATCACACGCACAAGGCGCTGTGCCAGCTGAATATGCAGCTCGCCTTGCACTTCGGCCGTACGAAAGGCCATTGCAGGCTGTTCATGATCTCTCTGAGACATGCAGGCAATAAAGGGCAATATTGGAAAGTGAGGTTATACAGACTTCGCGCCTTGAAACAGACCCCAAAGACCTAGGCGGTCTGGGCCAGCAGACTAGTTGTATATAGAGTCGAGTCAAGCCACCAACAGCCAAGAAGGAATTGGTTGGTCAAGGACTCATGCAGCCCTAGTTGTTCATTATAATGTGAATTCCAAGTTCCAAGCCCAGTATCTCTGCCCTTGTTATACATACTACGCCTCATGCAAAGCACTTCACCTCTAGCCACCCTTTTCCTCAAAAATACTTCAGCTACTACCTCATCCAGTAGGTAGTGCAGCTCGAGCCAACAGCCCTACATGTTCTAGCCTAGACTTTAGCAAGTAAACCTGCTGATTCCTAGGACCTAACATCCGTAAGAAGTGTATCTGAAGTCACTGGAGAGTATTTATGCTACGTAGTAAGCTTCCAATTATGCTTATAGAGATAAGATTGACTGCCTGGGGCAGGCCATCTGAAGAGAAAGTTTGTGAATGAAGAGGAAACAGTTGAAAACAGGCTGCTCGTAAGGCATGGTAGGTTTTGACAAGTACTTGACAAGTGACCCTAAGAAAATAAGTCATAGGTTACATCGAGTTGCCGAATGTGCTTTATATTCAAGTTCTCGGTACCAGAGACTCCGATTTGACGACATAATCCCAAAATTCCGGGTCCTGCATGTGTAATAAATGACGTTGAGCAATGAGAGCTTCAGAATCATTGATTGATAGGAATAAGCGGTGCAGCTGGTGCTTTTGCTTCATCGGGCAGTAAACACACTGATTAAAGCTCAACCGTGCAAGTTTACATAGATGGCAGAATAGCATTGCTGAGTTACAGAATCACGCCTTATCTAGAGTGAAATGAGAAATATATCACTAGCAATCTAGAGCGCCCAGGTTAAAGCACACTGTATCAATTACGGCTCTATCAAGAGCGCTATAGAGACTGAGTGGTCGCAATTTGGCAAATGTGAGCCAATATTGCAAGCTCTTCTAGCTAAAGACAGACCCAATCTCCAATCAAGTTCTATATTGGCCTTCCATTTCCCTCGTCTTCCCCGTTTGCACCGATACATTATCACTCAAGCCATACTCCGTCTTTAACTCTTTGCTAAGTTCGAGTGAAAGCCCACCCATCCCGCGACACCCAGGACCAGGGGAACAATAACATGCCATGAGGACCAAGGATGTTCAATGCCCCCTGTAACCAGTCCAAAGAGCAGCGAGATAAGCTTGGGATGAATATGAAGTTCCCTAAATAATCTAGTCTCTTCACCCTATAAGTGATACTGTCGCCAGTCTTGACCTTCATGAAAGCAATAATAGTGATCAAAGGGAGTACAGAGATCGGGATGTTAAGGTAGAAAATCCAACGCCAGTTGTTGTTTTGGGCTAGAAGACCATCAATGACCGGTCCAAGACCAGCAGCAACACCAGCCCAGAATGCCCATGTCGATCAAGACATATTTACTGCCAGCTCCAACGCCCTAAACTGTTCTTCCAGTGATGAGAGTGCCCGCATTCTGTGCACCGCCTACACTACCACTACCAACGATGAACAATATGATTGGCACGACAATAGGATATTTGCGCCCGAAAATGTTAGACAGCTGGCCGATGAGAGGTTGTAGAACGGATGAAACAAATACAAAGGAGTTAGCAATCCAAACGTACTGCGTAGAGCCACCTATTTCTTCAACGATTCTCGGCAACGCTGGAGGGATAATTGTCACATCCACTGCTGAGATAAAGACAAGAAGACTTAGAGCGACAATGATGAGCCAGAACTGCGGCGGGTGTCCAACTGTTGACCTCTCCTCTTCCCGAGACCCCAGTGCGTCCGGTTCAGTCCGGGTGTTAATTGGTGGAGGTTTGGCATCCATGAGCGTAAGTTCATCGGCAAATGTAGGGCGATTTTGAGATGGGAATGAGGCGAGACCAAGACACTGTTCGAAAAAAGATTAGTAATAACCTCGAAAATGTGCATGTATTTGTGAATGAATTTATGAACAATAATAGAGTACATCAATGTTACATTCCTGTACCTGTCTTTGTTGTGTACTTCTGCCTAAAGTGGCACACAACCAACAGCATTAGCGCCAAGCCATTGTACGTGCTTGTATGCAGCCCCGTCCCTGGAAGGGGAGTAAAACTGTGCTGTTTGGTACGGGGATAAGCCAACATCGCAGTCGCTGCTCTACCTTGAGGCTAGGATTACAAAGAAGAAAAAAACAAAGCCACTCACCCTGCGTTTGAGCTGTGTGTAACTGTTGGTCTATGTGATATCATGTATTAAGATAGAAATATACTGTTTCAAATCCCCTGCAATTTTTTATTGTTGGTCTTGTGTATTAACTGTCCCCAGCTGAAGATGTCATTTAGGAGGACATTGCACTAAACTAGCTAAGCGTTGGATGCAATCTCATTGTATCACAAATATATATTTCGGACTTGGCTCTGGAAAAAGGCTGATATTCTGGACCAGAGGGCTCTGTGCAGCTGCAAATCGTTCCCCATTAATGACTCTTTTGCTCCTCCTTCTGCCATCAATTCATCCTCAACATTGACATGTTGTTTACGTTTGTGATCGGTTTATTGGCGTCGGTCCATGCGACCAATCGAGGTCAATGGGGAGTCTTCGAAAATAATGAGGGACAGTGGAGCGAGGTTGTCGAGCGCGATGTTTGTATCGTAGGGGGAGGGGCAAGCGGTGTCCATGCTGCCGTCTCACTTGTTGACCTTAACAAGACCGTCGTCGTCGTTGAGCGAAGGAACCGCCTTGGAGGTGATACACATACCTACATGCATCCGGAGACAGGTGGCCTTGTAGACATCGGCGTCGTGATATTTCAGCCCCTTCAAGCTGTGTTCGACTTCTTCAAGAAGCTGGACTTGCCCCTCTTGAACTTGTCGGCAGTTACAACGAACACACCGGGTCAACCGGCAAACACATCGCAACCTGCATTCACGTTTGCGACATTGCGTACCTATCTAGATTTTCGGGATGGATCCAATATCACCCGTCCAACCGTCACTGACGAGGAAGTGGCTGAGGCCTTTCGGAGAATGTCGGATGCGCTATCACCATATGACTATATTTTACATGGTTATGATCTCCCAGATCCTGTTCCAGAGGATCTATTCATGCCATACGGGGCCTTTGTTGAGAAGTACAACCTTTCAGCTGCGTTCCAAATTGTTTATCAGATCAGTCAAGGCATGGGCGATCTGCTTCATATACCCACAATCTATGCCGCTAAATACTTCAACAGAGGAGATATTACCGCGTTAACCCAAGGCTATCTTACCCATGCCCGTGGAAATAACTCAGAGATATACAGTAGAGCAGGAGACTATATTTCCACGGACAACGTCATGCTTGAGTCCACCGTGGTGTCTAGCAGGCGACAAAAAAGTTCTACCACCAATGCAAGTCGTGCAGAACTATTGGTATCCACACGCAATGAGGGCTTAAAGCTTCTCTCATGCAGCCAGATCATTCTTGCTATCCCACCTGAACTTTCCAATTTGGCTGGGTGGGATCTCACGGAACAGGAACAAGATGTGTTCTCCAGCTTCATATCTGCCAATGGCTATTGGACGGGTCTGGTCAAAAACGTCGGACTCAACCAGACACTCACGTCCTTGAATGGAGCATCCAACACGCCGTTTAACATACCAGTCCTGCCCGCATTGTACGCTCTGAGCCCCGTTGGTATCATCGACGACGTTTGGTCGATCAAATTTGGTGCCAACATGCCCACCATGTTGGACGACCAGGTCAAATCGTATGTTGAACGAGAGATCCAGACGATACAGCATGTTCAGAATGCAACTGTGACACAGCCAGAATGGCTTATATTCGAGTCACATGCGCCGTTTCATTTGCAAGTTTCCCCTGAAGACATCAGGGGTGGGTTTTTCAAGCGATTAAACGCTCTTCAAGGTAGTTTAGATGGCACGATGTTCTACACAGGAGCGGCATTCCACACCCACCATAGTAGTTTACTCTGGCGATTTAATCGTGAGGTACTTCTGCCAAAGATGATGGAGTACTGGTAGGGTAGATTAGTGTGACAAAGGCTCTTGTAGAGGGCTTGGAACTTAGTCATATTCAATCATAATTTACTAGGGGTCTCTAGCGCCTTGTTTTCTTTCCTTCTTTGAAGTGGGAGAAACCCTGGGTTCCTGATGCTCATTCTGGCCTTCATACAATCCAGGACTCCTTCACCCGTTGGGGGTTTTTGCCTTAACTGTTGGTTCCCTCGCATATAACAATCTGACCTTGTGACTTCACATATCCAATCGCTTATAGCTTCACTCTCCGCAAGGATACAGTTGGCTGTGGCGTGGCCTAAAGGGTCTTGGCCGTGTAACAATTAGTCGTGTCAGTGAGAAGTTTGGCGGGATTGTTCGTATGAGTTGGATGGATGGTGCACAGGACATTTGATAATTCACGAGGCTACAGGATATCCTTAAAGGTGCGTTATCGCTAGAATATAAGCACATGGTTCTGCTGATGTTAGATAGTCTCACCTGCCATGGATCAAGTGACCCTTTGAAGTTTCTTTTGAAAGGAGTAGTTGGGTAGAGTCTACAATCACCCATATCGGCTTCGGATTTAACAACTTTCGGACTTATTTATTTCCAGTCTTGAAAATGGGGTCAGCACTGCCAAGCAAGCTAGTCACTTTGCATATACATAGTAATCACATATTCGGTCTTTGTTATGTGACGCAATCAGCCCTGCAGCTTGTTACTTGCCTACTTACAACCAACAAGCCAGACGGAGGTGGCGGTCCCTTTCGCTTTGGGGTGGTGCATTTTTACTCGTTAAAGTGTCCCTTCTCTTTTCCCCTAATAATAGTTTTTCTACATCTCAAAAAGACTTTAGACATCTGAGCTGTGGTGAAGCTATGGATGTAGCGCAGGCCGTCCAGGCGCTCCAGCGCGTCCTGCCAGCGACTCACTTTGCAGAGCGTGGCTCGAAAGAGTACGACGAGTTCAAGCAAGTCTATCAATCTGGTCTTTGTTCTGACATCGATCCATCTTGGGTATTCCAACCTGCGACCGCAGATGATGTCTCGATCTTTGTTAAAACAATTAAGCCATTTGCACTGAGTGGGAAAGCACCCTTTGCAATTGTTGGGGGTGGTCAACAGCCCGCCCCAGGCTGCTCGAACATACAGGATGGCATCACCGTGTCCCTACAAAAGATGAAGGGAATCAGTGTCGGGGATGGGGTAGTACAAGTTGCTGCTGGTGAGAGCTGGGGGCCAGTCTATGATAAACTTGGGGAAATCGGCCTCAGCTTCTCTGGAGGACGATCGTCCCGGTCAGGCATTGGAGGTCTCGCCCTAGCAGGTAATATGTCACGGCACCTCTCTCAGTTTAAAACGGGTACTGATTTTCTGGGATAGGTGGCCTATCATTTGTTTCGTCGCGTGAAGGCTTCATCTCAGACAGTGTACGCCAGTCCACCTGCGACCTGATCATCTAACGTCACATTTTGGGATGAATCCGTTCCTTTGGGACTATACTAATTCGCTGCAATATACTCAGGTTCTAAACTATGAAGTTGTTCTCGCATCTGGAGCTATAGTCAACGCGAATGCGCACGAGAATTCGGACCTCTGGGTTGCCCTGCGTGGTGGCGGCAATAACCTAGGTATCGTGACGCGGTTCGACTTTCGGACCTTTAAACAAGGCCCGGTGTATGGTGGCAGTATCTATTATTTTGGCGACAGTTTCCCAAAACAGCTGGAAGCGCTTGTGCATGAACTGCAAAAGCCAGATGCATCCAAGGATACCCATTTGATGCTGAGTATTGGTTACTCAGGCATGTTTGGCCCACAGCTAGTGTGTCTAAATCGTGCGTTGCAACCCCACTGGTTTCTCTCAACTTCATGAAATTGATTTGAACTCATATTAAGCGGTGTTGATACTATTTCATCACAAATCAATCATAAGGAAGTGTTCTAACTGAGAGTGCAGAGGTCTACTGCACCCAGGGAATTGACAAGTCCCCTGTGTTGAAACCGTTCATGGATATCCAGCCACAAATAGACCAAATGAATTCTCTACGCATGCATACCCTGGCAGAAGCGGCCAGAGAGCAGTCTGGCGATAGACCATCTCCAAAAAGGTACGATCAGCGAGATTATTGTCTGTCAAAGTTAATATACCACAGCGACTGATCGTGATGCAAGGTCTGTCTACATGAACACTACCGTCAAAGCGGACATCGCAACCTTACAAGCAGCAACGCATATCTTCTCGGCAGCCATTGAACCGCTCAAGTCATGCAAGGACATTCTACTCTCCCTCACACTGCAGCCATACCCTTTGAGCCTACTCCAGCGATCCACCACCGAAGGCGGTAATGTGCTCGGCCTTGAACCGGAACTCGGTTCGCTTGTGAGCATTCTGTTCCTTACTTATTGGGAGAATAGAGAGGATGATGAGAAGATCATGAATACATTGAGAGATGCGCTGAACGAAATCGACGGTGACGCTGCGCAGAAGGGGACATTGGTCCCTTTCAAATACCTCAATTATGCGGCGCCTTTCCAGGACCCGATCGGTTCATATGGTGCCGCAAACGTTGAGAAGTTACGCAGTGCAAGTCGTAAGTTCGACCCAGACGGGCTGTTCCAGGAAGGTGTTCCTGGCGGGTGGAAGCTATTCTCCTAAGTTGTCTTAGGTGTTAGGATTTCATACTGTATTGAAGGTGAAATATCTGAATTTGTCTTTTAACTGCCTAGTCTAAAGGCGATTTGCGCATACAATATACGGCCGCATTCGACGTAATACAGAAGAATCTAGGCTCCGTCCTCTTCCATGTGTAGCGATCCCCCATTCCCATAGTATGCCATTATTCATCCTCTTCTTTTTTCATCGCAGCGGAAAGCTCCTCCACCTTCTTCCAGATCTTGTGCTGATGCTCACGAGCGTGTCTATCGGCACTACCCTTCTTCTGCAGCATTTGCGTGCATGGGGGTTCCGCAGGAATAGATGGGCCGTTGGGTATAGTCATTGCTAGACTCCCCGGCCATTGACATTGGAATGGTGGTCCTTGCTGGCCATTTGTAGCCAAGTGAATGCTGTTGAAGTGCTGATAAAGCTCGCCGTGGCTCTCCGCTTCGTGGCCACAGTATCTTCCATTCTCGAGGCGCCAATAACACACCTTTCCTAGGTGCATGTTCTTTTGGTGCTCGATGATTCCTCGAGCACTACCGCTTGTAAACTTGCATCCGTCCACTTGACAGTGTTGCACAGGATTGGGATTCTCTATGTTTGACTTTGTATCAGCAGGACCGGTTTTCGTAGCGATATTCTGAAGGATAGTAGAAAAGATGAAGGAGTAAACCCAATTCTGCATAGAATAAGATTTGGAATAGGCAGAGATGGGTATTTAGATGAGTCTCTTGTGAGCTTGAGAAATGTAGTTGGGCTTCCATGAGAGCCATACTGATGCTTGCTTCAAGATCAAAGAATGATCTGCTGAATTATGTGGACTGAGAATGGGGAGAGTCTGTGATGGGAGATTGATCAGCAACAAGCTATTATCTTACCTGCTAGAGAGAAAAAAACAAGTCCGCCTGCAGTGACAGACCTAGTTCGGCGGCCATTGGCCGGGTGGATGTTTTTAGCCATAGTTGACACTGAGGGAGAAATGGTACTTTTGGTATGTTGCTCCTTGTGCGGGTGGATTGGATAAAGGAAGGGGAGAGAAAGAGGACTGAAGTGTGGCAGAAAGAATTTTCACCTATGTCTAGCCCTACAGTGAATGGATAATAAGCGGAGCTTTTCTTTTAGTTGACCAATCTGTCTTCACTGATAAGCTCTGCTGTTTTAAAGATAATCACGAACCTTGTCGTCGCTTGACAGGTGCTCATTGTTACACACAAGGGGTAACAAGTAACATGCATATCACACTAGAACCAAACAATGGTGTAATAAGGTAAGAAATGAACACAAGTAGAGTTGTGGGAGACAAATTTAAGTTGTATTATTAACTTACATGTATTTCAACTAGGCTGTTAAGCATCTTCCATGCCCAGGGCAGCTGTCAAGATGTAGAACAACGAGAATGTGAGCAATATCTAGTTATTACGGGCCTGTGTACCTTTGCCCCTAGCCTCTATACTCAGCTGAGTAATAAAGGTCTCGATTACTCTATGGTTTTTACCTCAATCTTAAAGGTAAATAGTAAAAATAAAAGAGCACATGCAAGAGAAGGTGAATTTGGTAATTTAATTTATATAAAGGGGCTGATGACGGTTTCTTGCCACCCTTAGTGATATTGAGAAGATGCAGGATCTGCTTGCTATTCAGCGGTCTCGGACGTTTTATAGTCACCATTCAGGAACTCCATAATCTTTTTCACGGCATGGTCATCTCCCTCAATCGTTTCTACTAATTCTTCCGGCACCCACCCCCGTGTCCAGCCACCTCCAAAATCGATCAGCCAGGCATTGTCATTCTCATCAATGATGACATTATCTGGCTTTCCATCGCCCCAAACTACCTCAATGTCGTGCAACTGCTTTACTGTATCTGCGATTTGCGATGCCCACTTATGTCTCTGGCTTTCCGGAGTAGTTGCAATGCGTATGTCTCTCAGAGGGACGCCTGGGATCCACTCACGTACGAACCCAATAACGCAACCTGCTTCGGGATGTTTGACATAACCCAATAGGGGTGGGACACGTATCAAGGTGTGACCTTGTATTGAAGCCTGTCGTAGATCATACAAGTCCGCCATCTCTTTTTCCATTTCCTCTAGAACGAATCTACCCACATGAACTTTACACAGCATTTTTTTGCCATCTGCCAGGACCTGGGCGACCAGGCGTGTGTTCCCTTTCACTTGAATCTCACCCACAGAGACTTGCGTGGTCGAGTACTTGGGAAGACTTTCGTCGATATCAAGATTGTCTTCTTCATAGAACTCGAAATCTGGCTCAAAGTTGCTGTAGCTCTCGTTGGCGTCAATGGGGATGATAGCGGGACTGCCTTGTGCAGTCAAGAGGCGGAAATAAAATGTCTGGGGGTATATGATACTGTGGAGAGTTTCTTCATAGGATCGGCCCAGAACACTCCTGGTTGGGGCCACCGTATCGAAGACAGCTTGACCCAGATCAAGTACCGTATCGAGAACCTGGTCCAAGGCATGATCGCTCTCGAAAGTTTCTTCATTCAGAGGTTCAGAAATCTGTCGTATCAATGAGTCTTCTAGGCAAGGTGCGATTTGGTCTGACTTGAGGTCCTCTTCTTGGGACGACTGGCGACTTGGGCAGAAGGACACTACAATTCTTTTGCGCTTCAGGAAGAAGACAATATCAGCACCATCACCCGGGCCAAAATGACTCTGAGACACGTAAGTTCCGTCTAACTGGCCGTCCATCGCAAGTGTTTTTTGAGCAGTATTATACGCCTAGTGCGAGGGTGCCTGTGTTGAAGCAAAGGGGGGAAGGAAGTGAAAGCAGCAGGATAGATATGATGATCAGCTGAGTCTCCGAGATTGAGGGTTCGTTCCTGGGTTAGGTTTTACTTTATACTGACACAACTTCGGCGCCAAGTTGGTTGGCCTGTGTGATTTGATGTTGGTGCGTTGAATGCTTGTGCAGCCACTGAGGCCCGAGTTGTAGTACCTACCTGTAACGAGAGCGCTTGGCACGGTAGACGGTGTTCATTAAGTACATAAAGTAGAGACCTATCTACTTACATGCATAGGTCCTCCACTATAGGGAGATAGACGTCGCTGTATTCAATTATCCGGCTTGGGTCTACCAGGCAAGAATATGAGTGTCAAGTTAAATCAGATACTTTATATCTTAGTATTGGGCTGTAATCTGAAAAATTCATAAACATCTAGAGGAACTTCCTGGGCCATTATGGAACTAAGGTAACAGTGTGGCCAGATAAGGCAGGGAGCTTCACTCAGAATAGTGTCTGCGTAGCGAAGACTAGGACACGCATATCCAAGTAGACATATAGGAAGCATGCACATCAACGCTCTTCCAACTAAACCGTGGGCGTTAACAAACTAAATTTGACATTAATAATAGTAGCAGGCAGTGCTTCAACTCCATCGTCATAGTCCTAGATTGAGAACCACCTGAACTGTGGGATAAGGCACATAACTCCTTTCTAACTAGAAGGAATTTGGGGCCTCCAGTGTTGAAATTACTGCAATAAGTCATTCCCTCTGAATTATCTATTGGCGGTCTAGGTCCGCCCATAGAGACTTGAATCGCGCCTCTAAGCTGGCCTTGCATACGATGTTCTTCTCGAGGATATCCATAGCGTTATTGCAGCCACGAGACTTGACTACTCGCCATGCACCACCCAATCTGTTCATAAACCATTCCTTAGTATGTGAGTCCTCATTGGCGGCCACGGCACCGAGCATGAGCTGACAACATGTCAGATCAGAATAGCAACAGGGCCTAAACTGACTTGCGCATATAACGTCTTTCAGTTCACTCGCAACAGCCGTCAAATTGATGGCAGTCGACAGGCAATCCCACGATAAATAGACAATGAGCTCAATGCAAATGCAGGAGGCCTGCAATACCAGACTCCCACCCGTGCGCATTGCTCGCGCCTCGGAAAGTATGCGATGCATGGGATGTGCAATGCACCTCATGATGAAGTCTGAACCTTGTGGTGTCGAACGAGATACAGCTATGGCTTCCATCCAATGCGTCAATGTTTCGCAAAGCCTTGATATTCGTATCAACGATGAGTATTGGGTATCTTGAGATGCACATGCTACATCAACGAACTTCTTGTGATAGAACCGGGGAAATTCGAATACATCATTAATAATATCCCTATATAGTTGATCAGTCACTAATTTATTGTCCTGAGACGGCACTGGAGGTATGTACACACTTGATAAGTAGTTCTTCAAGCAAAGGTGACAGGGCAGGTAAGCCCCGTGATACTCTCTCTGTCACTAGTTGAACGGCTCCATCGATATGGATGTTCCAGGCAACATCGTTATGTACTATGCGCTCCCCAAACGCCATTGTAAGTACGGCAGCAAGAACAGCATCTGTGAAGCCTCGACCTGTGCCAATGCGGTTGATAATATTCTCTGTGGCCTTGGATGAGAAATCGCAGGCCAATTGTTGATAGTCGGTGCTCCGTGACCAGTGCCGTAAACCGAACGCCATAGACGATTCGACCAGGACTGGCTCTGAGACAAGCAAACTTATCCAGGCCTCTTCGCTGGTGCTCATGGGATATTCAGTTCCATCTAGGAAAAGCAGAGACCATTTTGATGATACTAGAGTTTATTAGGGAATGTCACAACCTTGAATACACGAAGTAAGAGCTACAGGATGTATAGTACATACTAATTCGAGTGTAGCTATCTCCATGCACTCGTTGGGAAGGGGTTTGTAAAGACTCTAACGCACTTTCGGTACTGCGGTCGAGTTTTCCCGAGGACGATTGACGAGACAATCCCTTTCTTTGCTTTCTCTTATCCTGGGCTAGTCGCTCGCGTCTTTTCGCGAAGTTCGACCTAGTAACATGTGACCTCATCTCCTTTGCTGCGGCTTCGGACAACCCCGTGGTCCCGACCGTAGTTACGAAGGTCAATGTTGGCGGACTCATGATTATGGATCTAAGAATGAATTAGGGAAATCAATTCTCATGAAGTGCTCACAGTATAGAATGGCTCGATCGTGTTGGATTCCATTGTCATGGTCCGATTCATTCATGACCACCAGCATTTCTAAGCAAGGCGCTCAGCAGCTATTTTGTTCTGCTGATAGAGATTCAGAGGAAGCCAGCCATTCCCAATCAGGAGAACCATTTTTAGCTTTGTGCTGCCACTGAATCCGCGCTAGGCCACATTAGGTAAATCAAAATATCCTCAAGTTCGCCCCTATTTTATATGTATTGTACCGAAGTTCGTGTGTCTTAGCATCCACTGGCCTCTCTATATGGGCTGTGAAATGGTCCGTGGAATGGTCTATTCTGGATTAGGTGAATGATTTCGAATCTATCTAGTGTCATATATGACTCGTTCCGCTTAAGAATCACGCCGTTCAAGCAGTCCCAAACTGAGAAGGAATAACGATGTCTCTCTCTACAATGCATATAAAAGGACGTGAAAACTCCCAACGGCAATATCGACTTGATAATCGCAGGTTAATCAACTTGAAGATTCATCTTCAAGCTACAACAAAAAGTTTCTACCCCTTACGACATGGCCCGCCAGTGGATCTTAAACAGCCAGAATGGCTTCGAAAACTCCCTTGAGTACCGAAAGGATATCCGAATTCCATCTTCAAGTGATCTCGGTCCCAAAGATGTCTTGGTAAAAATGCTCGCCGCTAGCTTGAACTACCGTGACCTGATGATTGCAACTCCAGGGGTAAGTCCTAGTCTCCCGTTCGATACAAGAGGAGTGAGTCGCGATATGTTTATTCCCAGACTAACATCACTCTCCAAGACAATCGCAGGCCCCATTCAGCCACCCTTGATACCTGGATGTGATGGTGCCGGGATAGTCGAGGCCATCGGCTCGTCTGTTCAGGATTTTCGTCCCGGTGACAGGGTGGTTACCTACCTAGCTCCAAAGCTAGTTGAATCAAGCGGTAACGACGCGGTTCCCACTGCCGCTGATACTTTCGCCATGTTGGGATGCGGTATATCTGGGACTCTGAGATCACATGCTGTTTTCCCAGAAGCTGCACTAGTCCCTGCTCCGAGATCTCTCGACTGGTTGCCCGCTTCAACACTGACCTGTACGTGGACAACGGCCTGGAATGCTCTATTCGGGCTCAAGGGAAAACAAGTCAGCCCGGGCTCTTGGGTCCTTGTTCAAGGCACGGGCGGCGTCAGTATTGCAGCTCTACAACTAGCCGTTGCTGCTGGGGCCAACGTTGTGGCAACGACATCTACAGCCGATAAATCGGCAAGACTAGTTGCTCTAGGTGCTGCGCATACCATTAACTACGTCTCAAACCCAACGTCTTGGGGTACAGAGGCTCGGAAGCATACGCCAGGAGGTAGGGGCTTCGACATCATTATTGACGTGGGAGGGGATGAGACCTTGCCGCAATCTCTGGCCGCCGCGCGGGCTGACGGTCTTCTCATGGTTATTGGAGGCGTAGGAGACTCGAAAGCTGAGCCGGTCCCGTTGTTGGCGGCTCTAATCCATACTTGCATCGTCAGGGGAATCCTTGGTGGGACTCGGACACAGTTCTATGACCTTGTGAAGTTTATAGATGAGAAGGACATTAAGCCTACTGTAGATGAGGCTGTGTTCGAGCTTGCCGAGGCTAAGGATGCTTATCGACGCTTGAGCGAAAAGAAACACTTCTCTAAGGTTGTGATACGGATTGATCACTAGGAAGCATGTGTTCACTCACTATATCCACAACGGTTAGAGATTTTTGCAACGAAGTTCGTGACAAGGGTTCGGATTCACTACTAGATAAATTGATATTGCGTCACTAGCTTTATCAATTTACCGCCTAGTATATACCAAAGCATTATTGATCATTTAGCACAAAGGCGTCTGCTGACTCATTATGTCCGTGCGACGGTCCTGCCCTCTTCTTGCATCCGTTGCGCCTCCGTTGTGCTATCAGCGTGTTGGGCTACTAGGGCGCCGTATTGAAAGAAATGGAATAGTTGAACTTACCAGGGTATACTACTTCTCTTACTCCGAATGATGCCTTTTTTATTTAGGCCACCCCTCTTTTATATGTGTTTTAATACGTGTTACTCCTTTACACATGTTAACAGAAGTCTGCCTTCATCGAACTATGCCAACTATCATCTGATATAATTTGAAATATTATGTAATATTATACTTAAAACCGCAGTTCAGAACGGGTTTAATCATACTTCAACAATAGTCTACCCAAACCAAAACAAATCCAAACGACAGTTCTGACGGAACTGAATCCCATAATGAGGCTCCAATTTTGGAGCCCCAATACCAGCTCTTCATGAACTTTCAGTATGAAATATATTCGTTGATAAGCCAAATGTTGTACGCCGTTACACGTGCACCCTCTCTGCACCTGAAAACCAAGGTTATATGACAATCCAGGCAACTAGCCAACTGGACACGTTGTATATACACAACTTGAATGTATCTTTGTATCTGGACGTACATATGCAACGTCCTGGCCGTTACATGTGTGAGAAAGTAACGGCGGTGTGTGAATATCATGAAGCCATCAGCATCAACATGACTGAAATAGAGTATAGAGAGACACTTTGTGTATAGCCACTCAGCATTCTCCGTAATAGCTAGAAAGAGCCTCGTGTTACAAGAAATGTCTTGCCATACCCGTATGGTTACACTTCTGGCAATGATGGAGTCATGGTAACAGCCTCACAGATAATATCAATTGTCTCTGTATCACGTAAAAGGTAGTCAGGTGAGTTCGGAGTCATCAAATATCAACTTGACCCGCGCGCTATGACCATCGAATAAGCCGACAGTATCACATGTGAGAGAAGGCAATTGGATAGGTGCGCCCTGAAAAGTTTGGTGCAACGATAAGTTCACCGATGGGAAATTTAATTTGCTCTCTCTCTCTCAGTTCTGTATTAGGGATAGGCCCCTCACAACTGCGAAACGAGGCAAGGGCACATTTTCATGTAACCCATGTAGTTACACAAATTGTGATCAAATGACAACTGAAACAATTACAATATTACAATCAGAGGCCATTTATCTCTTTTGGTAACCCAAATTTACTTTGATTATAAGAATACACATTCCCATGTCGTTCTTTCGTAGACACTTGATTCCCTAGTTCCCTTTCACTCTCCCTTTCACTCTTGCGTCAGAAAATTGTCATTCGCAAGAAGTAAACATTACTAACCCAAGCATCCAACAAGTATCCAGGCAAGCACACACAGGATATATCACCCTTAGAATATCATGAAATATCTGATTTGCAATCACAGAAAATCTTGAGGATACCTGCCAGCACCAAGATGTGCCACTGGCTTCGAGTCCGGTGCAGAGAATGCGACATCAAGATCCGGGACAAGCTCATCACTACCTGTCCGGATGTCATTCACGCGATAAACACACCCGGCGCCATCGTGCAAACTGAATACGAAACCTGTCCGGGATGTCTTCTCTCTCCGACTCCATCTCCCGAGCCGGACCCTGAACCACCCTCTAAGAAGCCCAGGAGGTCTACCCCTTAATTAGAGCCTGGTGAATATGGTGTTGTTAGGTATGACGGTTGTTGGCTAGTGCTTGAAGCTTGCTGAGCGAATGATATAATCTAGGAGGATGCGAGTGAGGTGGAGCGAGATGAGAGGATCTCGATTGGTGGCTCGCGGTTGAAAAGCTGGGAATAAGCACGGCCCTGGCATTGCGAACTACCCCCAGCCACCGTAATTAAAGACTACTTGATAGCGCGACCGCAATTGACTCTCAGAATCACTTTTTACCCTCATGTTGTACAGAATTGACTCTTCTTTATCCATATCTCTTTAATTTCTGAAGAACAACGCACAGTGGCTGCGGTTCGCGCCTGCAGGTTGAGTATGCCAACCCGGCAAGCAACGCGCGAGTGGGATGCGAATAGATCGTATATATTCCGCCGTCTTCGCGGTGTTCTCACCCGAAAAGAGACTCACGCACACCTTCAAGCCTTGTCTACCTATCACGAACAGCAATTAGTGCACTGGGCCATAGGGAAGGCTAGGCTAGGCTTTATGCCTTCAATTGTTAAGTTCATGGTGAATACACATCCTGTGACAAGAACAAACAGGGTGATGGAAGCGGTTAATGGAATTTTGCGCGGTGCATGAAAGTCAAGTATTGCATACAAATGTTGAAGTGTTGGTATGGAAGCCTCCAAGACTGGAGGTTATTGTCAGATATAAGCAATCGTATATAACATTCAGTTCATTGATTGTGTTATGTATCTGTCGAATATAAGGAGTTATATATTAAGCCAGGATATCGGACAAACGGGGACCTTAGGGTAAACCCATATTAAGAAAACAAGGGCCCTTGTACAATCTCTGCGTAACAGGCTAGTCATATAGAGAAGATATATAATACAATCAATAATTAAATATTATATACCATCGCTTATATTTAATAATTAAAAGTTTTATTGTTATTTTTAATTATTATAATATAATATAGTTGAGGCAATAGCAACAGGGCTATCTTAAACCGTGACCTCCCTTACCGCCCCATCAGACCCTCCCCGTAAGGCGCCCCTGAATTTCCATCACAGCGATTAAGAGGTGCGTACGAAGAAAAGATCCAGCATCTCTAATTTAAAAAAATAAAATTGCTTTAATCGTCACCTTAATTGCAGAGAAACAATCACCAACGAGCGTTGAATCATTCCAAGAATGTCCTTTTAAGCCCTACTTCTATTAACGTACTGTAACGGACCCGTCATACGTCACCTGAGGTACGAGCAGCACGTCAGGGGTTCTTGATTTATAGGTAACAATAGGGTTATCGCCGGTTGTCCGTAAAGGAGGTTTTCGAATACTCCTACCACTATGCAGAAATAGAAGTCTAAATAGCAGTCGCTCAATGAACGTAGTAGTATTGATTGAGTGTAAGAAGAATAACTTGACAGCTGGGGAGCTAAACTAAACGAGTGACTAGATATAAGAAATACGAAGAGTATATAGACAAGGAAACTACAGGAGTACATCCACAGCTCGATGTACTTCCTTCTCGAGCCTTGTCCCTTATCCGGCAGAAGCATTTATCCGTGCCCCTTCATCTCTCATCAGGCGCAACCCATCCGTTCAGACCGGTCTGCATGTCAGACCGTCCAGTTGGGTTGGTTTGTAACACGTACAAGGGATTCGGATTTTGTGATAGAACAGTCTTTGTTTCCAAAAAGCAGCAGCAGCAAATTCCACAGAGACTTTGTTCAGTTATACAATTTCATTGTTGAGAGTTGTGTTCAAACATCACAGCTGAATGTAGGACGTCTACGGGAGCTGTGTAACACATATGTAGTTACGAGATTTCACAACTCTTGTCTGGGGAACAGTCCAACAGCTTATGTGTTTCACTAAGGTATATATATCATAGGCTTCTCTCAATATGCAGTCTATTCCTTTTGCTTCGTTGTCTGCAATCTTTGGGAAAATACCAAGACCAAAAAACACCCATTTGCCGTATCGATCAGTTACGCTAAAACGCACATTCTACTACACCTCTCATCATGAATTCTTCGTCTAGTGTCTCTTCTGTAGCGAGTCGTCAACGATGGAGTGACCCAGACAGCCAACCAGTGAGGGAGAAGATTCGTCTTTTACGTCGCACGCTCGACTCTTTCAGTGCTATAGAGCTTATCATCATCATTCTGGTGAGCTTCGCAACTCTCTGGCTTTTTTGCCTTATGGTTCTCCCCTCCGCCCACCGATAGAGATGCTAAGAATCAGTCGCAATCACCCCGTATGCAGGGAAAAACTTTCATTCTATCTAGGGAGTAAGGCATTTATAAGTCTTGTTTCTACATCGTTTATATATTTGTAAGGGCGTTGCTGATATATATAATGGGAGCCCTACTAGCAACATTACGTCTTTATTGCTTAATAAGATCCCATATTCCTTATAAAATATAAAAAAGGATAAAGCGCAATCTGCATACTATAATACAAGTAAAGGATTATTCTTCTTAAAACAAGTTTGCCTTAAAACCTATGTTTAAGCATTTCCGAAATATAAGGTTTTTAAAGTTATATTAAAAGGGAAGGGAAGGGTATATTATAAAGCTAACAGCTATTAGATTTTTAATATAATAAAATTATAATTAATTTACTATTATAAAAAAGGCTTAATACTGTTTCAGGTTACCTATGTAGCGTATAATTATATAAGTATAAAAGAGTATAAAGCTTAACTAATATGTATATAAGATATAGATTGCCCCGACGCGGGTGAGATAGACAGACAGACAGACAGACAGACAGATAGATAGACAGACAGACATGCATACATAGACACCGATAAACGTACCATAGAAAATATATATTACCTTGCTTTCTACATTCATTAATTAAAACCTCTTATATATCATTTATATAATCTATATCTAAGGAGTGTAGGTTTTGTTAGTTTATTGTTGTATGTTAGTTGTCCCCAGGTCCTTACGCAGTGTATGCGGTATTCCTGCTAAGCGATCCTGTCAAAAATACGTCTTTCTTGGTGTCTCCAAGATTCTACAGTTAGTAAGAAACACACAGAAATATATAAAGGCAGATAGGTGCCGTGGGATTGCCCTCAGCACCAATGACATCGAGGTCGCAATTCTTCAATCCTAAGCCCAGGACAGTGAGAAGCAGGGGTCCTTCATGAGCCCTCTCGCATCTTTTGCTGTCACCGACTCCAGTCGGTATCTTCGCTTCAATCCCTAATTTTCAAGTATCTATAGCTCAGATCACAAATAGGCTTAGCTATAGTAACCATATTAGAACACAAATGTCGCCTTTTCTCCCTTGACGGATGCGGGGTAACAATCATATGTGCAGGGTTGAGTCAGATATTATTAGCCCAAGCCCAGCGGGTGACTAGCAGACGCTTTAATTTCTGCCTCATTGTGCGCCTTATGCGTGGCTAATGCAGTGGTGTGTTGGATTAGATACGTGAGAAGCCTAGCGAATTACATACCTCCCTCCTTTATTCGCTGCAGTGTTTAGTTGGAAGGTCATTTTGGGGGCAGAATCTACCGCCTGCCTGACTGCCTTACTGCTACATTGGTAGGCCCTGGTGTGGCTATGCCGAATGCAATCTATGCTATGTATTGCTCACTCCCTCCCGCCCACCGTATCGAGTTTCATTCAAATATTATCGACAACACCAAATGGCAGAGATTATCGGACTCATTGCGAGCATTGGCACCATTGCCTCTGCAGGATTTGCAGTGGCAAAAGCCATTTCTGACCTTGCAGACGAGTTGGGCTCCGCGGGCAAAAATATCAAGGTCATCTCCGTCGACACTAAGGCCGTGGCGCTAATTCTCCATGAAATGAAACGACGTTTAGACAAGTCGACTAGAATTACGCAACAGACACTCGACATCGCCTGCGAGATTGCAAGCTTATGCAAAGCAGATCTTGAGAGCATCAAGCAATTCCTGCTACCAGTGTTACCAGCAGGTGGGGATAAGATGAGCATGGTACAAAAAGCCAAATGGATCTTTGTCAAAGCCAAAGTCTCAGCGAAAAGAGTTTCCTTAAACTCCTTAAAACTAACCATCACCCTTTTCCTACATACATTGGATTTCATCGAAGGAGATCTATTGGATGAGTACGTCTTGCGCAGATGTGATATGTTGGGTGACGCATAACAGCTAACTCTTGTCTGCTTCTACTGAAAAGGGAATACACGAAAGATGAGATCAAAAACATCGCTGAAGAGTCTAAAAAAACAAAATCAGCATTCCTTGCTGCCGAGCGATTCGATCAAACTTTGGAGCGGGCTTATGCCGCAACTCTATCTTCCAATCCCAGTACAGGTGATGAGAATGCAGACTTACTTATTCAATTGCTTCATCACCATGACCAGGTGGAGGGAGATGGCACCGGGGTATTGAAGCGGCTTGGTGGTCATGAGGGAGATATAGATTTCAGTACAAATTTGTTGCAGACAAATCAGCATTCCCAACCGAACAGTCAACAGTCCAATTTTCAAACGGAGGAAAGTTTATCGGATGACCAGTTCCTGCAAATTGCGTGGCACATTCGCACACAGAAAAATGTTGCTAGCTATGCTTCAGTTGTACTTGAGAAGGGATACCAAGAGAGAGAGATCACCCGTTCTGAACACCATCGCGAGGCAGAGGGGCAGTCGAATACATCTCAGAACTCTTCGGCAAACCAGCATCAAAGTGTCCATCTTCATTCGCCCCAAGACCTTCCAGACGATGATCGAGTTAGCCGCATTAGCGACGCCGATGAACAAATATCACAACGGAACAAATCGGAGAGTGATTCCAGTCCCGCCCACAAAGCCCCAAGTGTATCATTCTCAGATCTGGATGTACACTGTGATCGGAGTGACTCTTTTTTTCGGCTAAGCCCTCGAAGACTATCAGGAGACTCGCAATCAACCATTTTAAATACTGATGCACAAGGGGTCAGTGAGTCCTCTGACGCTCTTCACCATTTAAGATCACGTTTCAACACCAATAGTAACTTCGATGCTTCCGCACGTCCCAGCGAAAGGATTCATCCAGTGCTATACAGCCACGATGATCACGGGGCATCGCCCTTCGTGAGATCTCATGGCCATGGGAGTGATGGTAGGGCCTTTGACAACCTCTACTGGCAACCGTATCCCTACTCTACCCCTCTATCCGAACCGCCCACTGTGGCTAGGGAAGACCCTGAGAAGGAAGCAATGAAAAGGCAGCTTGCCGAGATAAAGAAGTTAGAGGGACAGAAAGTGCTTGAAGCGCAGTTTAGGAAAGATGCAGAGCAAGTTTTTATGCAGAAGATAGAACGAATGAGGAGAGATGAAGAAATAAGAGCAGAAGAAAGAAAGACTGCTGTGGAAAACGCCAAAAAGGAGATCGAAGAGGCGAGGAAAGAGGCTGACAGGTATGCACGTCAAGCTATCGAAGCTGAGATGAAAGCTGCTGCCGAACGAAAGAAAGGCGAGGAAGAGGCGATGGAACGAGCAGAACGGGCTGCCCATGATAAAATTCAAGCTACGCTAAAGGCTAAGGCTGAAAGCCGAAAAGGACTTCGACGAATTCTTCTAAAATTTTAAAGGAGCTAGCAACTTCAGAACATATTTCCATTGAGCCAGCTTCTATCCCTTTTCTATATGCTATGTTGGGTATGGGAGAGGCAATGATCTTGAGAGCAGTTGGAGCACTGTTTATTTTCAATTATTCCCCTGCGTGGTCTCTTCAATTCTATCTCATATGTCTATTTCTGTTGGAATATTAGTGATTGATTGCAACCCCATAGATCACTTCGCACAATAGCTATTACCATCTATACATACAGCTATATACCTATATACCTATCCACGTATCTCTTATTTCTTTAGCATCACCTGCTAGTAAAGTTCTCATCCTAAGTAAGGACTTTAATTTATATAAATCTTCTTTTCCTCTTCTCTTTTAAATAAATATATAACGTTATTAATATAATTAATGTATTAGTAGTTTTTTAACGATAGTATTATCCCTTGTGAATATATCTATTTTACTGCCGTGTTGGCGCCGAAAACCGGCCAATAGCGAGGTGGCTTGGGGGCTGCTTAGCTGCCTTGCCACACCCGGGCGCCAGCCCTTTCGGCGGATCAAACTGCCACCCACTCATCTCGTTCAGTCTTTGCTCAATTCTATAATGAATCCATACGTGTCAAACCCAGATAACATTCCTGCCACCGACCAGTATGCAGATGTACCGTTCTACGGCCGGTATTTCCCCAGTCCGGACGACTTTCGCGTCGATCTCCAGCACATCAACTCCCAATCTACAGCCTCTCTGCAATACTGGGCATCAGTTGTTGATCTCTGCAATGAGTCCGTCAGGATCTACCCGGCCGACGAGGGCGGCCGCGACGTGTTCGCCCTTGGCAGCGTCATCGTCAAGTCAAGCCATCTTCACAATCCAGGGAACGGCCAGCATACAGAGATTGACTACTCATACGCTGATGCCAATGAAATGCAGGCTGTTGCTATTGCTAAGAGCATCCTAAACGACGTTAGAGTGCCAGAGATCTTCTTTTCTGGCAAGGTGCTGGCACTCTCTCGCTTCTTCATTACGTCTCCATCACTTACACTTCTGTAGATCGATGGCCGTCAGGTGCTAGTCCAGGAAAGACTCTCAGGCGTTAGTTTGACCGTCGCATGGCCGTACCTATCGCAAGCCCAAAAGGAAGCATTCAAGCAGCAGGCACGAAATATACTTCGACAGTTACACGCAGTAAAGCCCACCGATGGACGCCGAGCTCGCTCCCACATCGTCCAAGATCCTAACATCCTCAACAATGGCCGTATCCATCCTCTGGAAGGTGACATCCTCTTCTCAAGCGCCAACAACGACCCGGACATGAGTTTCATGCACAACGACTTCACCGAGTCCAATTGCATAGTTGACAATGACAGGATTGTCGGGCTTGTTGATTGGGAGATGGCTGGCTTCTTCGGCTGGAAGACAGCTGGTGAAGTCCACCGTAGGATCAGAACGCCTCAAAGGGAGCATTTCGCCAATGTCAACTTGAGTGAGGCGAGGCTTCAGGAAATTATATTTTGGAATGATCTTTATGACGCTGGTACGCCTGAGTTTTGAGGGGAGGGGTATATAGAAATGCTATATAATTTTATTTTATTTTACTTTTATAAAAAGTATTTAAACAGTCTATAAACAGATATACTAGAGAATACACCTAGTAGGTAGAGCGCAGATAGTCTTGTGATACTAAACGGGCTTTCCCTTAAGTTTCCGAAAACGGTGCTACAATGAAGAGGGATCAACATCAAAAAAGCAAACAAATGATAGACGGCAATATAAGGCGCTTGGATATGCCAGTCATCATGTATGAACAGCCCATGGTGGTTGGGAATGCCTAGCAGAAGTGCAGCGAGAGGAAGTAAGTCAGCCATGATGTGTATCTACTTGATGGGCAGCTAGAAGCAAGTGTTGAGAAAGTACAGTACGAGCCTTGGAAAGTGAACTCCGGGTCTGATAGACTACTGGCCAAATAAACAACCTCAAATACACGCAAATTACATTCTGCAAACGCATTGGTGTCCTGCGTGTTGGGTCACACCAAGCCTACCCTCTGCCATATTTTAGACAACTACCTAATTAAGTAGCCCGCGGATCAAAAATCCCATAAAGTACTCTGACCCAATATCTCAGAGCGGCGCAGAATTTGTTGCTGCTTAATCTGGGTAGATCACACCCCCCCGTATACAGATCGTTGGAGTGTTGGTTTACATCTTCTTGGAGGTGCAGGCCAAGACATGCAGCAGTTTACTAACTTGTTGCCTTAATGCATGATCTAATGGAACCATATTGCAGGTAGCGTCGAGCGCCAGAGGCACGCGAAGGCAGATAGTTAATAGGTAACTTACTCGCCTCTATCACACATCATTATTAATATAGACACTCACCAGCAGCCCAACGTGCATTAATTCGTTTGCTTGCCCATCGCACAGCCTTCATAATACTCCAAATCAGCGCAGTTCACAATACCAATTAACTAACTTCAAATTTTAAAAGCGTTCTAGCAAGACTATTGCTATATACACTTCAAACCTTTACTACATCATTGTTACTGAGTTATGGCTACCGATTCAAAAGCCACGATCGTCCTCGTAGGAGGCGCTTTCCACACCCCTCAAAGTTACGAGAAACTCAAGACTGCGATTCAAGCATTAGGTTATGAAGTACACGTCCCACGCCTTCCAACCTGTAATGAGGCGCGACCGCCCAATACCGACTTGGCAAGCGACACTGAGCTTATCCGAAGCTACGTTGGAAGCTTGGTCCAGGCTGGACGGAACGTCGTAGTTATTGGCCACTCATACGGCGGCCAGGTTTGTTCTAATGCACTCTATGGCCTTGGAGTCGAAGCACGCTCCTCTGCCGGTCTTACAGGGGGGGTTTCTTACATCGTTTATTTGGTTGGCTACGCTCTCCCCGAGGGCATGAGTAGTCTAGACAAATTCAAAGTGTTTGGAAACATCGAAAACATGGCTCTTATCTTTGACACTGCTGAAGACGGGAGCACTACTGTGCGTGACCCCAAAGCACTGTTCAGCCTCGACGGCCCTGGCATCACTGAGGAAGATATCGCAGCCTACAGCAAGACACTTTGTCGCTGGAGTGGGAAAGGCATGTTTCAACCAATCGAGCGTGCTGCATGGCGAGAGATCCCGGTCGTGTACATCCATACCGCGTCTGATTTGTCTATTCCCACTGCCGAGCAAAAAAGTATGGTGGCGTTTATAGAGAAAGCAGGCCGAAAGGTACAAACCTTTACGGTTGACTCCGGTCATTGTCCCAACTTCAACGCGGCACAGAGCGTTGCGGATGCCGTCAACCAAGTAGCGTCTGGTTAGGGGATTATCCCTTTGCCTTTGGTGATCAAAGAGACCTTTTCATAGGTCCTCAGAAGCAGTGGGAACTCAGCGATGAAGGGAACTTTTGTCAGATTAGCAAAAAAAAGGTCGAGTATAGTCGGGTCAACTATCATCATCTAGAACATAAGATCGCCTCTTTCACTGTTTCGTCTATCTTAGTCGTATGGCTTGAAACTTCATAGTATCGCAGCACTTCCTTACCTGCAGCTTTGAAAGTACATGGAGCATATTGGCATAGTATGCAATATCCGCTGCCATATCAAGAACAGGATATAAGCCTGTGCATGTTCTAATGTAATACCTAAGTAGAGTACCTAGGTAGGTTAAGTCGAGGTGGCGGCTCATACCTCAGGGGCAAGATAGAGATTTTGGCGTTCCCGAGATGGTATGTTGTTAGTGCACAGGATTGGAGACCATTTTAAGTTAGTTCGATCTTTTCCTCTCTCTTATTCTCTTCACAGGATGAATACATGTAGGCAGGCGAGCAGGTTGTCGATTGATTTGCTGATGGTGTGTCATGGACTGCGCCCCAAGCCCCAAGCCCAATCAATGTAGCTGCATATACGGTGGGCCACTATCACAAAGTGCGAAAATAAAAAAATCAGGTCAAGTGCGGGGTAAAACCTATTTTCCAACTTTACCTAAGGGGACCAAATATAATAACGGTATAAAGTAAAGTTTTAAAGATATAAATAATTACTTAAATACCTATTTTAAAGGTTATATAAATAATCTATAGTTTCTATTAGGCTTTATAACTATTTAAGTTATAGCTTCTAGCTATATAGGTCTATATTGTAGTTAGTACTGTAGGTCAGTACTGTAGGTCAGTACTGTAGGTCAGTACTGTAGGTCAGTACTGTAGGTCAGTACTGTAGGTCAGTACTGTAGGTCAGTACTGAAGGTCTGTATTGAAGGTCTATATTGTAGTTAGTACTGTAGGTCTGTACTGAAGGTCTGTATTGAAGGTCTG